TGTTAAAGAATCTCCCCAAGGTCTTGCGAAAGGTAGGTTGGGGAGCTAGGATCTGAACTCGGGCGTGCTGCTCTAGGGTCTGTCCTCTATACCAGCATGTGCTGCATGCTAAGTCATCCAATACTTGTGTCCCTCAAGCATGTCCTGGGATCTGTTGTCCTCAGGTTATCACATATTTCCAGTTGTTTTCTTACAGGAAGAGAGAAAAAGACATTTAGCACTCTCAGCAATCTCAACATAAATACTTGAAGACAGCTTTCTGAGTTTTCTTTCTGTAGTTTAAATAATTCTAATTAGTTTAAAATTTCTCCAGAGCTGGATGTGGTGGTGCATGCCTATAATCCCAGCACTCAGAAGGCTGAGGCAGGAGGACTGGTTTGACTTCAAGGCCAGTTTGGGCTACAAAGTGAGTTTAAGGCCATCTTGAACTGCATACTGTTTGGAGAATTTTTTTGGGGTTTTTTTTTTTTTTTTTTTGGTTTTTTTTTGAGACAGGGTCTCTCTATGGAGTTCAGGCTAGCCTTGAGCTCACTTTGTAGCCTAGACTGGTCTCAAACTCGAAACATCAGGCTCTAAACTGCATACTGAAACTGTCTCAAAAAGATTTTTAAAAATTAGAAAGATTTTACAAATTCTCCAAGTGATTGCTCATCCCCACATTTTAAGTCACCTACATTTTGGAGGGCATATTTTTAAAATAGATTTGCCAAATTTTAAAGCCCCAAAGCAGATATGAATGTTTTCCAGTGAAGTCCTGATCAATGCCATATGTGGGGAAAGGAGTTTTGCGTCTCTTTTCCTCATTAATATTCCAGCATTATGTTCTTTGATTTGCCTAGCAGTTCTATATTGCCCACCAATTTTGTGCTTGTGATGCAATCACTAACTTGGAAAACATCATAACCTTTTAAAAGCAATAGTTCTTATAAGCCACATCTCATGCGGCGAGGATCTTGTTCTTTTTTTCAGCTGTGAAGGCCCATCTGGAAGGGTCAGACAGAGTTTAGCGCTCTCCGTCTGGGATGTTAGTACCTCCACCTAATTTGGTATCATCCACCAAACACACGATGCTTGTTCTCAGCTCCGTTGTGTGGATCACTGAGGAAAATATTTACATAAACCTTTTCCCATAAATCTATTTTTTCTGGCTTTCAGATAGCTTTGGGAGTGGTGAGCTGAGTTCACATTTTTTTTTAGTTCACATTGTAATCCTTCCCAAGAAGGGCAGTTGAGTATCTGAGCTGTATACTTTCTTAGCAAGAAACAATTAAGATTCATTTTTTTTTTTTTTTTCGGGCTTGTGTTGAAGTCACTACATAGCTCAGGCTGGCCTCAAACTAATAGTGATCTTCCTGCCTCAGCTTCTTGAGTGCTGGGATTACAGGCATGTACCACCATATCTGGCAAAATGCATTTCCAAATCTGAAGAAATACTGATATTTGACCACTATTCGGGAGGACAAGCAAAGTTAAGTTTATGCAAATACAGGAGAAGCAGCTGTGTTCTGTAGAAGCGAGGGTATGGCCTGGACTCTGCTCCTAGCCATGCTCCTGTACTCATGGCTAAGCAGAGAAAAACTTGTCTGGCTACCTGGTATTGCTTCTGTTGGTAAATCCAAGACCTGATCATGCAGAGAACACCTGGAGAACTCTGGAAAGTGCTTTGGTCAGCTCTCCCCACTCCCTGAATCTCCAACTCTTGAGAGATGAAGGGAAGGCATCTCTGGTTTTCCTCTCGTTTTGTTTTGTTTTCCTATACTGGGGATTGAACCCATGCCCTTACACATCATCCATGAGTTCTCACCACTGAGCTACAGCCCCAGCTTGGCATCTCTATTTTTTAAAACCTTCCCAAATCAACTATATTAATTATGGTTAAATCTATGTAATGGGACCCTAAGCATTTCAGAAATGAAGTAAATTTAAACATGCAAATATGGAAAGATGTCACATTGGCTAGACAGAAGGCATAGCAAACTTCCGTTTGACATAAATGTACAGGTGCAAATATGAACTTAGAATACCGTTTGACCACATTATACTGTGTCCATTTAGATGCTTCACCAAAGGTTTATGACAAGAACCAGGCAATCAGGAAGAATGCTGCCTGCAGAACAGAGCTCCTGTGCCTGTAGGGGTCTAAACTTGCTAGATGGTGAGTTGTAAGGGACAGGGGTGCAGGGAAGATGTGGCTCAGGGGAGGGCATTGTTGTTGCAACCTGTTATGCAAATATTTCACCATGTTCATAATGTAGTCAAGCTTAGTTTTAACTTAACACACAGAAATATTCTGGAAGAATTCTCAAGAACCTGAAACTAGCAGCCTATCCATGAACGTTGGCTGATTAAAGCAGAAAGATCTAGGTAAAATTAGAAGGATGTGGGAAATACAAGTAAAGGCAGTGCGAATAACTAGTCACATACACAGGAAAAGTCACACCGTGAGCAGTCCAGGGAGCCACTGCCACCCCACCCCTGATCCCTGGATGCTGCTGCTAACATCACTGCCACCTGCAAACATTAGGATAGTGCTTAGCACATCGCCTATACTATTAGACATGCATCTGCTTCCCGCACTGGACTGTAACCCCTTGAGCTTAGAGCAGCATCCTGTTCATTAATGTCTAGACTTCAGTCCCTGCCCCGTCCCTGGCATAGAGCAAGCACAAGGCGGAATGAAATAGATGAGCAAATAGAATTTTCTAGACACATTAATGCAGCAGAGAGAGGAAGAGCAGTAATTCACTAGGTGTGTCATTTTTGTTAAAACAAAAATGTGTACATGCTCTTTTTCCACTCCTTCACTCGTGGTTTGTCACACATAGCAACCCCCCCCCAATAAAAAACCATGTGGCTTGGCTTTCATAGTGGATTAATATTATCTTTTCCTCTGAATTAAGGTTTGCTTTCAGCAGAGATTTGCATAAAACTATGATTCTATACACTCTTTCTTTCTTTCTTTCTTTCCTCCATTCTTCTCCTTTACAGTGCTGGGCCTTGCATGTGGGGCAAGTGCTCTATCATCAAGCTACACTCCCAGCCCTGGGAATTTTGTTTTCATTGCTAATACATTTCAAAGAATTCCAACCACATATCTGAGATTTTTTAGGAACTTGAAGCCAAATATGGTTCACTGACCGAGATTCTAGAGCAAAGATATAAGAATAAGTGACATCTTCAAAATTGCAATGGATTGCATAACAAACCAGAAGTCAAGAACATACATCAGAATTCTAGCTCCAAGGACCTACAAATAAATTATGTACTATTCCCCAGTTCTACCTGGTTTTCCTAGGCTTCAAAGAAGCTAGAGATTGGAAAGCTTAATGAAGATGAAGGATAACAGCAATCATGATATGAAGAAAGAAAGTGGTCTTTATTTATGATTATATATTCTCCTCCTAATAAAATTTATTATAAAAAGGCAAAACCTCAGAAAAATGAAAGCTGATGTTCATGCCAAAACCTATACATGAATGTTTGCAACTTTATTTGTAATAACCCCAAACTGAAATCAACCCAGATATCTTTTCAAAATATAAACCTAACAAACTATGACACATTAACAACAAATAAAATGGAACAAACTACTGACACATGCAACAATCTAGACAAATTTCTAGAAAATTATGCTGAGTCCAAGTCAGTCTTAAAATGTTACACATTGTATGACAGACCCATAAGAATGTACGTAACATTCTTAAAGTGGGAAGTGTATGTGGCTAGAAGAGGAGGACATAAAGGATTCTTATGGCAATAGAAGGTTCTGTATCTTGACCAATATTAAAACGCCACTGAAATTGTACTATAATTTTGCAAGTTGTTACCATTAAGGGAAACTGAGTAATGGTTTCACAGGAGGTTTTGTTTTTTACAATTATAAATAAAAAGCTGAACTAAGCCAGGCATGGTGTTGCACTCATGTAATCCCAGCACTCAAGAGGCTGAGGTAAGAGGATTGTTGAAAGTTTGAGACCAGCCTGGGCTACAAAGTGAGCTCAAGGGCAGCCTGACTAAAAACAGAGTCTTTAAAAAAACAAATTAATTAATTAAATTTTTAAAAGTTGAACTAAAAAAAAAAAAAAAAGGTAAAAAGTACAAGCAATACCAACCTGTAAAATATAGAAAATAAAAATCTGAGTGATAAAACACCTAAGCTCTTATGATTCAGTATTACCTTCTTTTCTGTGCTTCCTTGAAGCAAAAAAGAAAAAGAAGAAAGCACGGACAGGTTATACATCCTTTTGTCTGTTGAAAGTAATGACAGCAGATTTTTAGGAGACAATCCTCTGGCAGGCAATTCAAAAAGAGAAATGAAGCTTTCTTAAAATACAACCCACAGGGGCTGGAGGTTTAGCTCAGCGGCATAAGCGCCTGCCTTGCAAGCAGGCAGTTGTGAGTTCGATCCCTGGTACTGAAAAAAAAAAAAAAAAAAAAAAAAAAATACAACCCACAGGGCACTAAAAGGCTGACAGAGCTTTGGCTAGCTCAGAGCTCAGAGCTCAGGGGTGTTCAATTTTGTGCTTGATGATCCATAGCTTGAATATCTGGGGTTCTGGAGGGCAAAGGTACACCTTCAGGCCCGTCTGACATGTACTGGAGTAGCTGGTCACCGTTAGGAAAAACCAAAAAGACGCATGACAGACTGGCTGTCTTTCCTGTGAGGGGTCTGAGAGCCCACACTGGGAATGTGCCTGTTGTCTAGACTCCTATTGAAAATTCAAGGACTAGCTGGATGCAGAGAGCATCTGCGAGCCTCCAGAGAGCGGGAAGAGCATGAGCTGTGCACTCCATCAGGGCAGCCCTGCTGCCCCCACCCCGACCGGCTTGCTCCTTCAAGGTCTCAGCTCCTACACACACCCACCCAACACACATTACCCGGCTCCAACTAAACTGGATCACTGGTATCAGCACTTGGATGTGTCCTGCTGTCTCCTGTCTCTGAAAACCCAAACTAAAATGTCAGCTCCACCAAGACCACACCATCGCTCTGAACTGACCGTGCCATTTCTTTCCTTCTCTCCAGGGCAAATGTCTCCATGCTGTCATGTTGGTCTCCACTTTCTTTCTTGTCTTTCTCCACTCAAACCATTTCAAGACTGCTCCACACCTCCAGGCCTGTACGGCGGATCTCCACATTCCCAAATCCGATGGCCACAACTCTTCCCGTTGTTTTAATTCTGTTGGTGCCTTTTCTACTCTGCTTCCCTCTTCTACCTCGTGACACACTTGCTCATGACACTCCTCACTCCTGGTTTTCCTGCTGCTTCTCTGGCTGTTGGCACACTGTACACATAATAAACTGGCTGCATTTTCTCCGTTCCTTCTCTGCCCCTTCTAATACGTAGTCGCCCTAAGCTGGGTCATTTGTTTTCTCTTCTATCCACTTTCTCTCCTTAGCTCATCTTGTCCATGGCGGGTTATTTCCACATCAACATTGCTCATCTAATACATTTATTGATAGTTCCTTAATAACAAACATATAGTTTCTAGAATTAAATTTCTTTGTTTAGCTCATATATATGCACCATTTTACAATAGATATGAATCACAAAATAATTAATTCATTCAGATTAGGATCCAAAAAAGGACCACTCACCATGCTGGCATGTATCTGGCAGGCCTTTTTTTTTTTTCTTTTTCTCGGTACCAGGCATCAAACTCTGGACCTTGCGTTTGCCAGGCAGGTGCTTGTGCCACTGAGCTAAACCCCCGGCCCTTTTCTTTTTTTTAAACCTAAAAAAAAAGTCCACTCTTCCTTTTCCCCCTTGGTATTTTCAGAAGGAACTAGGCAACTTTCTCTCTAGACTCCTCCCTCTTTTGAATTTTTTGGTTGCATACCCATAGCATTAATGTGTTCCCCTTCCGGGTTTGCTAGACTGCATGTCTGCCTGGAGCAGATTCCGTCTTCAAAGGCAGCTTGTGTGCTCCCCTCAGCTGCCGCTGATAATCACTGCTTCCATCAGTTATGCCATCAAGGCTTTGTTAAACAGTAGTCTAGCTCTACTATTGTTACAGGCAGCTGAGTTAGTTAGAAATATCAGAGGCAGTCAGACAGGGTTGGGCCCTTGAAGGAGCCAGTGCAGAAGACCAGATATCTTGCAGCCTTGGAGGAGACAGACACCTCCTGCTGTGGGCCAGATCTCAGGACAAAAGGTGAGAAACAAATGCAACCACACCTACCAGAAACACCAGGGGTTGATATTCTAAATAGGTCTGGATCATCTTGAGGAAGCCAGGAGTCCCCATCCCAACCTCCTACAGGAAGAGTCACTGCTCTTTACGCATGCTCACTTGCTAGTGACTGACTTCCTCATTTGCCCCTGATTGGGTCAATGTTGCCTGAACAATTAATCTTGTTGGTTGACTCTAGTTCAGTCCCACCTCATGCCTGTCTGCCTTGAGAATTGCCGTTTTCCCCATCTTGGACCTGTCCCGCCTCATGGTTTTACTCTGTAAAAAAGTCCCTGGAAAGGAGACTCTTTAAGAGGCCAGGGTTTAGCCCAGTGGCATAAGCACCTGCCTGGCCAGCAGGCAATTCTGAGTTTGATTCCCGGTACCAAAAAAAAAAAGAAAAGAGAATCTTGGGCAACCTACTTGGGACCCCTTTTGTCCATCAGGCAGAAGTTTTCTTACTCTCAGTAAATATATTCTGCTCTTAACCTCCGATGTTACTAAAATTCATTTTTTCAATTTTAGAGAACACAAACTCCTATCAGATACATAGCAGTTGGGAGTTTCGTTCCCCTATATCATTATGAATAGTTGTCTAAAGAGAAATTTCCCCTCATCAGCTATTTGGGTTGCCATGAGACACAGTTTGAAAGGGAAACCACCTCCTCCAGTTGGGGGTGCACACCTGCAACGCCAGCACTCTGGGAGGCTGAGGCAAGAAGATCACAAGTTCAAGCTGGGCCCCGGCAGTGTAGCAATTTAACAAAGCACTGCCTCAACAACAAAAATTAGCAAGGGGGGTGGGGTGGGGTGGGGAGGTCCAACTCAGTGTAAATGCCTTGATTCAATCCTCAGTGAAAGAATCTTGCCCTAGGCCAGACGCTGTAGCCAGTAAAGCCTTGGAGGCAGAACCAGAGGTTCTATCTTGAGGTCATCTTCCCGGCCCCTAGGAATTTACCTGTGGCACAAAATGAATACCAATGGGCTACCTGTGCATCACTGATGCCCCTTAGGCACCACCCCAAACCTAAGCTACCTGTATGCCTCCACTCCACGGGCGTCTGCCAGAGAGAATGCCAGCCCCTGGAGACAATGCCAGACCCCGGAGGGTCAGCGGGTCTCTCCCCACATTCTTAAAATAAAGGTCTCATTTATATTTCATACTTCTTATCTTTTCAGCCGCGCCAGAATTTTATCACTCAGCACTGCCAAAACAAGGTGGGTAGGATAGAAAAGAAAAAAAAGACAAGACAAAGAAAAGAAAGGGAAACTACTGCTTTCAAGTTGAGACTTGAGTGGAAGAGCCAAGGAAGAGAGGCAAAGCTGGGGTGCACTCCGTGCAGCAGGAGGAAGAGTGGCCAGTGGCACCTAGAGGTGAGCTCTCCTCTAGGGCCTCAGCACTGGACCGAGGAAGATTATGAGCTGCCTGCTGCCAAGCTCCTGCCTCCCCTCACAGCACAGCCAGCCCGCCCTGCAGGCCTCCCTTCAGTTTCTGAGCTGTAGCCTGACCTCCTCATTTGGCTCCCAGGGCAGTAGTCCTGCTCTGTCTCGGGTTCCTCAGGGCCCTAGCACGGCACTGAACACTGAGGAGGCTATCAACAAGTGGTTGTTTATAAATCCACAGGGATAAATTATTTAATTTATAAGTTATTTTACTGCATTTAAAATGTGATTATCTTAATCATGCTGAAAGCACTTCCTAGGTGTCTGTCTGGTCACCGGGCTGGCTGGAATATGTAGCTCCAGCCCTCCACCAACAATGTTACCTCCCTTACCTTCCTGGAGGCCCCCTGAGCACGGTCCCATCCTGGTCCATGAACTGCCAGCAGCGTCCCCACTCACTTACCAACATCAGTGTTTGCTCTTTGAATCATTGCAAATTCAGTAGATGAAAAGTAAAATATATTTTCTAATGTATACTTCCAAGTAGTACTGATAATGATCACTCTTCTCATTGGTCATTTGTGTTGGTCCTTGTGTGGCTGATTACTTATCCATACCTTTTCTTCTTTTTTTAAATTTTTTTTTTTTATTTTGAAAGTAGTAAAAATGCAACAGCACAAGACAGAACAAAGCCAAGCGAGACAATGCAGTGAAATTGGTACAGGATTTCACAGTAGGATACTGGGATGGTAGTAATAGGTAGTATGGTGTATCTCATTATCTTCATAATAGTTGTCTAGTCAATTAGATATAGCAAAGTCAAACCAAAAATAGAACATTATAAAACCAATTGAGAGTACTGAATAGAGCAAAAGAAACATAACAAAACAACAGTGAAAACAACCTTTGCCTTCAAACAAAAGATAGAAGGAAATCCCCCATATTTGCTAGACTGCATATGGTCATCCTCCCAAGAGATGCTGAGACATCTATCCCCAGTAGCATGGGGGAGGGGGAGGCGGGAAGAGGAAGGGTACTTCATTTTCAGCCCATGTGGCAGTAGGCTCACAGGTAATGGTTCTCTTCCTGATCCACGCCGCGGGCGCTTACCAAGAGGGTTGGTGAATAAGCTGCCACCATGGCTGGCACCATTATGTGAGAAACCAAGGGCACTTTAAAAAAAAATCTATTGGGGAAAAAATTGAAAATACAAAGATGTCAAAGTGTTTAAATGAAACTAACACATAATCCTACTATGAGAGGAAATAGCTAATAATGTAGCTGTTTCCTTCCGGATTTTCTGTGTATCGAGTGTACATGCCTTTGACATAAATGAGTTCTTACTCTATTCAGCTTCTCTGCCACCTGTTTTCCTCACAGGAGCCTTTGCAGTCACTTTAAAGAATGACAATAAGAGATAAATATAGTTTATTTATAGAAAAATGAGCAGAGGATACAAATAGCTTACTATTCACAGAAGCAGAAGCACAGATGGGCAGTCTGAAGAGGTGATCGCCCTCCCTATTGATTAGAAATGCAAATGGTTCCGTCTTCTACCGTTACAGAACTGGCAAAGATTCAAAGAAGTAAAAACGCCTAAGGCGTGCAAGCCGCGGAAATGAGCATTCTTGTCCACCAGTGAAGGCCGCGAACCAAGAAGCGGCTTTCCGGGAGCCCGGGTCTAATACAACCTAGGGGTGGTCTGTGCCCTTTGATGCTGGATGTCACCAGAGGAGCTCATCCCCAGGAAATGATTAGCACGCTGAGTGATGGTGTGTGTGAGGCATATTCATACCCAGGACCCTGTGGGACGAGAGAAATCAGGTTCAGGAAGACTCCCGGCTGACATGGAGGGAGATTTATGAGACCCTGTCAGGTGCTGGAAAGGCACATGACACAACTTCATTTCTGCATACACACAAATGACTGAAAAGAGATTTACCAAAACATGAACAATACATTATCCTGGGTGATGAGATTACGTGTTTTGTTTACCTTGTGTTTTTCTAAGGCTTTTTTTTCTTTTTCCTTTTTATCGGTACCGGGGATCGAACTCATGACTGCCTGCTTTCAAGGCAGGCGCTTATGCCGCTGAGCTAAACCCCCAGCCCCTCTAAGGCTTTTTTGAATTTTTTTGTGGGTTTTCTAAGGTCTTTGATACTTAGCAGGTATAATTTGTGTAAAATGGGAGGGAAATGTCATTAAAATTGTTGCTGGAATAAGTATGATAGTTGACTTAGGGCAAACACAGATGAATTTAAGGATTTAACTCTAGTCTGGTAGGTGGTGGCATCAGTAGTACCTACCTGTAATCCCAGTACTCTGGGAGGCTGAGGCAGGAGGATGGCAAGTTTGGGCCTAGTCTGTGCAATTTAGCAAGATCCTGTCTCAAAATTAAAAAGGGCTGAGGACAGAGCTCAATTCAAAAGCCTCCTAGGCTTGTGTAGCTACCCACTTTTGTGCGGGTTTCAGCCTGGCTGGACTTCTTAAAGTGAAGGCTGAGACCCTAGGCCCCAAGACATTTCCCTTTTGCTCCGTGTAGGAAGTAAAGGTAGGGCCAGGGACTTAGCTCAGTGGCACAAAGTGCCTGCCTGGCAAGCACGAGGTCATGAGTTTGATCCCCTGTAAGAAGAAACAAAAAAAAACAAAAACAAAAACTTAGAACTTTAGGGGCTGGGGATTTAGCTCAGTGGCATAAACGCCTGCCTGGCAAGCCTGAGGTCCAGAGTTCGATCCCTGGTACCTGCTAGGATTATTTCCAAAAGATGAAAAATATTTCCAAAAGATGAGAAGTATAAAATAAAAAGCGGCCTTTATTCTGAGAACATGGAAAGAGATGACTGACACCCCCACCACTGGCATCTAGCAATCTCTCCAGCGGACACGTGGCGTGGGGGCATGTAAATAGCCTGGGTTTGGGGTGGAACCTAAGGCGGGCATTAGGGATGCACAGGTAACCCATTGGTCCTAGGTTTGGCACCATATGTAAATTTCCAGGGGGGGGGGGAGATGGCGTCACAGGTAACTTCCTAGGTGCGGGGGAGATGGGGCTTCCTGCTTCCGGTTGAGGCTTTCCTGGCTACAGCGTCCTGTCTGGGCCAAAACCTTTTCAGTACCATAAATAAATAAATAAATAAAGGGAGCAGGAAAAGAAGAAATGAGGGTAAATCTTTTTGCACAGAGTGAATTGGAGGGACCGTGTGGAAAGGGAGTGGTCTTCTCCTGGGGGTGCTTCACCTAGATGGCCATAGGCATCAGACCACAGAGGGGGTGCCCCAGCCCAGAGGCACAGAGCAACATTAGGAACTGTGCCACAGATGACCTGAGATGTAGATGCATGGACTTTGCGAACAAAACAAAGGCATAGCTCTCCAAAGGCTCCTGGTTCCCTAGCTTCTGCAAGTAGTTCAGAAAGGGGAGGAGGACTGATGGTAAGGAGGCCTGGAGGTGCCAAAAGTACTTCTCTTTCTTGGTATAAAAATTAACTGAGAGATCAGAATGCTTTATGCCAAGTTTTTAATGGACGGTTTAGGGAACAGAGCCCCGATCAGATGTAAAGGTGGAAATGCTGGGCCACTGGAACCTTAGGGCCAATGGTCCAGATGTCGCAGGACCTCTCAGTGGAATTAGAACCAGGCTTGCTGCCTCTAGCAAAGCATGCAGCAGGGAGACCCATTTTTCAGCTGAGTCCTCAGTTCCGCCCAGGTCCATGCATCTGCACAAGGCCACAGTTACCAGCTTGCAGTCTGACCCTGTGAGGACCCCGAGAACCCTGGGCATCTCCATCTTTTTCTGCCCATCAGACCCCACATCCTCCAGTGCCATCCTACAGCCCTCCCTCTGCCCTGACCTGCGAGCTCTCTGCTCATGGCCCAGCAGCGCTGCTACTCTCCAGGTCTGGCTTCTTTTGGGGTTGCCTTCAGAGCAGGAACCTGTCTAGCCTTGTCCTTCAGCTGACAGCAGCTAAAAGGTCAGCATCCTCTCCATCTCTGTCTCATGCTGAGTGCTGCATGCGTTTGCTGAGCACTTTTAAAATCAGCTTGCTTGCTTTTCTTTCTTTCTTTCTTTCATTTATCGAGACTGGGTCTCACTACATAGCCCAGGTTGTCCTCAAACTCATGGCGATCCTTCTGCCTCAGCCTCTAGAGTGCAGGGATAACAGGCATGCACCACCATGCATGGCCAACTTTTTATTTTAGAATAGTTTGGAAATAACATAGAGAGTTCCTGTGCACTGCACTCCTGGTTCCCACTGTTAACATTTCATATTAGGAGGGCTCTTTGGCCCAATTAATGAGCCAGGGTTGATACCTCATTGTATTCTCATCAGTTGCTGTTTCTCAGAATTTCTTTTATTTCTCTTTAAAATAAAATGAATTTGAAAAACCTTGTATTGAATGTTTATATTGGATTATAATTTACATACTGTAAAATTTAACCTTTCAAATATACAATTCAGTGGGGTTTGTTTGTTCGTTTTTATTGTATTTGCAAAGTTGTGGGACCATTAGCACTACCTAATTCCAGTCACTTTCAACTCCCTGAAAAGAAACTGTAGGGCTGGGGATAATTCAGTGACAGAGCAAGTTCTTAGTATGTGCACGGTCCCACCTTCAGTCCACAGCACCAGTGGGGCAGGGGAGCGGGGACAGAGAAAAAGAAGGAAAAGAAGAAGAAAGGGAGAAAATGAAACCTGCACCTTTTAGACATCATTCCCACAGCTTCTAGTAACTAATTTACCTTATCTTATCTATTTGGAATCATAGACTGTAAAAGTCTGACTTTTTTCATTTAGCAAAATGTTTTCCAGCTTTATCCATCTTGTAGTATTAATTAGCAACTCATTTCTTTTGGTGGCTGCATAATACTCCGTTGCATAGACACACCAAATATGGTGTGTTCATTCAACTGATGGATCATTCCATTTTTGGGGGGTTATTTTGAGTAATGCTCCTATGAATATTTGTAGCAGTGTTCTGTGTGAACATATGCTTTCAAAGATCTTGTGTATTTTCTTAGGAATGGACCGCTGGGTCGTAAGATATTCTATGGTTAACTTTAGAGTTTTCCAAAATTCTATACTTAAAAAATTAGCGTGGTATTTCCAGAGTGACTGAACCATTTTACCAGCAATATTATAAGGGCTCCAGCTGCTCCACCAGTTGTCTTTCTGTTTATTCCAGTCAGCCTATGAAGTTGTATTTCATTGTGTCTGGATTTGTGTTCCCCTAAAACTGATGATGTCATGATTTTTAAAACATGTTCATTGGCCGTCTTCTTTGGAGAAATGTCTATTACAATCCTTTGCCCATTTAAAAAAAAAATTTTTTTTTTATTGTGGAGTTTAACAGTTCTCTATATATTATGAGTACTAGACCTTTACCACACGGATGATTTGAAAATACTTTCCTCCATCCTAAAGGTTGTGTTTTTGTTTACTTTTCTTTGTAATAGCTTTATTGAAATAGAATTTATGTGCTACATAATTCACCCATTAGAGTGTATGATTCAGTTGTATTTAGTATGTTCACAGATTTGCACACCATAACCATCTTTCTTGTGGGGGTGCTAGAGATTTAACCCAGATGCTTCACCTTGAGCTAGCCTCCTATTATTTTGAGACAGGATCTTACTGAATCTCTAAGGATGGGCTCAAACTGGAGATCCTCCTGCCCCAGCCTCTCAGAGTGTTGGGATTACTGGCTGGCCTCGAACTCACAGCAATCCTCCTCCTCAGCCTCTCTTGAGGGGTGCTGGGCTTACAGGTGTGTGCGACCACACCTGGCATAGGTAGCAATTCCTAATCACTGCCAAACAATGTCCAGCTTGCTCCTTGGCTGGGTATGCAAGGCTCACCTTACATTTCTGCCACACTCTGGCCTTCTAGTGTCAGCACCCTTTGTCATCCACCTGTTCCTCCTTGGAATGCAAGTCTACCCAAGACCTTCAAATCAAAGTCAAAACTGAGGAATGGATTAAAAAAAAAAAAAGATGTGGTATTTTTATACAATGGAGTACTACTCAGTTATAAAGAAGAATTATTTCAAGGCTTTCATAGGTAAATGGATGCAACTTGAGACCATACTCATAAGTGAAATAAATCAAACTCACATGTGTAAATGCCATATTGCCTCCCTAGTATAAGAAACTGAAAAATCAAATAAGATCCAGATCTACAATAAATATTGTGTAAGGGTAAGAAACTGCTTAAAGGGGAAAAGTAACTAGAATAGGGGAAAGGAAGAAAAGAAGTGAAATGGAAAAAGAGATAAATTTGTCTGTATATACATAAGATAGCTAAGATGACAGTACTACTAATTCTGAGTTCTTGGAAAAGAAGTTAATATTCGTATGATCAGATCAACTTTGCATGTCTGTATCTGGTAATCTGAGTAACTCTTTTGAAGATAACAATATGCACTGTTAACAACCATTGTTAAATTCCCATCATCATGTCTTGAAAGCTTATATTGTCATTGTTTGGGATTTGTTGTTTGTCTCTTTTGCTTTTTGTTTTTCTTTTCTATGTTTTTTCTCTTTTAAAAAAAAAGACCCAAAGTCAAATTAGAATTCTCAGGACCCCTTAGGAGGGCCTGTCCCACAGCACAATTCCCTCAAGGCATTTATGGCCTCTAACGTACTCAGTATTGTGTTTTGATTGTGTACATAACAGAATCCTTTATCTAGACAGAACTGGAGGAATCATCGGTCTGGATGGTTTTTAATTCCTATGTAACCTGGTGCAGAGTTCTGGCTGGAGACACTTAAAGCACATTTGATGTTAACTGAACGGAATATAGTGCCAAATAGTTTTAAAATGAATCGGATGCACTTTATATTCTGATGGAGACCATTACAAAGCAGCTCTGAGCAGGATTTAAAATTAACCAACTGGCTTTCTGTGTTTACCTATGAGTCTGCCCCAGGCCTAGGCAGCTTACTTGGAGGGTGGCTGCCGGCATGCAGTCAGTGTAACTCCCCATTGGTGACTCCCCAATGGGGAGTCCCCATGTGACTCCCCACTGGTCACATTTCAGACGTGTGTTGGTCCATGACACTATGACACCTTGGAGGGCAAGATAAAGCTTCAGCTGAGGATTCCTGGCTCTCACTCCAATTTATAAGATAAAGACTACAGCTGTAGCCACTCGGCTCCTGCTGTGAATGTAAAGCTGAGAGACTGTACAGTTCTCTTAATGGGCAACATTTACTACTTGGAGAAGTCTTTGAACCAGCTTCCCAAGGTTGTGTCCGGTTTCCCACCTTTACTTCAGTATGTTCTTCCTTTGTTTGGAAACCCAGTAAGTATGGATACTCCAGAGAACTCGTGGTCTTAGCTCCCAGAGAGCTTTGCCCTTTCTGGACTCCCCCAAACCACATTACTTGTCTCTTTTATTTAAGTCTATGTTGTTAACTTGTTTTAGGAGGTTGGGGGCCAAAAATAATACCATACACACACAAACAAGATTTCGTGTTGAATGTTTTAATTTGCCTTTTTGTTTACGGGATTTTGGTCACAGATGCTCTCTCATAAGGCAAAGATGAGTCAGGCATGGTGACATATGCCTGTAATCCCAGCACTCTGGTAGCCTGAGACAGGAACATCACAAATCCATGCCCAGCCTGAACAACTTAGCAACTTAATGAGACCCTGTCTCAAAATAAAAAAAATAAAAATAAAAAAGGACTAGGAATGTAGTGCAGTGTTAATGCCCCGGGGTTCAAGACCCAGTACATACACACACACACACACACACACACACACACACACACACACACACACAAAGGCAAAGATGAATTTAGAAATGAAAACGGAATGCTCATTCACTAATTCTCCACACAATGCTGGCCAAATGACCGATTATTCTAATTAGCCACACAGCAGTCAAGGAAGTAAATGAGTTACAAAATAAACTAGTAAAAACAGGAAAAGTAGCTTTTTCAAGAGCTTTCTGTAATTCTTTAACAATCTATTACCTGATAGATTGTTTAACAAAGTAACTTGGAAAAAATAACTTGAACAACTTTTGAAAGGATCTCACTGAGAACTGTGGGGGACCGGCGGTGGCTGAAAAGATAAATAGTATGAAATATAAATGACCTTTATTTTGAGAATGCAGGGAGAGACACCCCCAACCCCCTGGGGCGTGGCATCCCCCTCCCCGCTTTGTGGATCTCTCAGGGAAACACGTGGAGTGGAGGCATGTAAGTAGCCTCGGTTTGGGGTGCAACCTAAGGGGCATTAGGGATGCACAGGTAGCCCATTGGTCTTTGTTTGGCGCCACAGGTAAATTCCTAGGGGTGGGGGAGATAGGAGCTCCTTGGTTCTGGCTGAGGCTTTTCCAGCTACAGTGTCCCGTCTGGGCCAAAACTCTTTCACTCACTATATAGTTCAGTGTGGCTTTGTGCTCACTATGTAGCCCAGGCTGGCCTCAAACTTGCAGTGATCCTCCTGCCTCAGCCTCCTGCTCACTGGGATTACAGAAGTGCACTACTACATCTCTTCTGACCAATTTTTTTTTAACGTTTAATAACAACAAACATTAGTTCTACTTAATTACAACAAAGCAGTTTATTTCAATACAAGGACTTGAGTACAGACATGGAATGTACCAGGTTATTTAGGGAATGATATTTGAGACAGGCTTTTCAAGGCTAAGTCCAATGTGTCCTGAATTCTCACACTATTTCTCTCAATCAGAGAAGAATTTCTACGAGATGCTTTTGCGTTTTCTTCTGGTTCAATGGGGAGCAGGGTGTGGGGGTTGAATAGACATCTCGGCTCCCCCAAGATGCCAACCCTGTGGAAAGAATCATTGGCACAGCTCAGTGTGAGGCCAGTGAGTGAGGTGCACAGTCAGGTTATGACTGTGGTTGTCTCCGTGTCTGTGAGTGTGCATGTCCGCACACATGTGTGTACTGACAGAGGAGCACACACACTTGTTTTTAAAGCTGTGCCCAGAGTGAGACTCTCTCTCAAAAAATAAAAATTTTAAAACACTGTCCCTGTCCCCATGAAGTACCACTGATATATGGGTCCAAAACTTGATTGCTAGCAATATTTTTACTGGTCCTTTCTACATTTCCCAAAGATGATTCTTATAATAGAAAAACTTTAGCTTTAAAAGACCTGTTCCCGGCTGGGAGTACAGCTCAGTGGCACAAGAGCCTGCCTGGCAAACACAAGGTCCTGAGTTTGATTCCCAATACCAAAAATAAATAAATAAATAAAATATTTGTTCTTCACTACGCAAAGCTAGCATTTCAGAGTTTAGCATAACTTTCACGAATTTTCCCATCTTTCCAGGTATAAGAAAAGACACTCTGGGGGCTGGGGATTTAGCTCAGCGGCATAAACGCCTGCCTTGGAAGCAGGCAGTCGTGAGTTTGATCCCCAGTACCGATAAAAAGGAAAAAGACAAAAAAAAAAAAAAAAAAAAGAAAAGACACTCTGGGCTGGGGATTTAGCTCAGCGGCATAAGCACCTGCCTTGCAAGCAGGCAGTCGTGAGTTCAATCCCTGGTACTGATAAAAAGTTAAAAAAAAAAATAATAATACACAGGAAAGAAAAGACACTCTGGACAGGAAATGGGGAGGTGAGTGGGATGGTGGGAAGACAGGCACAGTGCCAGAGCCCCACTCCTCTTGGGCCACCTAAGGCAGTGACACTTGGCCTTCATGTCTCTCCTTGGCACTTACACTGGCATGGGTACCGAGTCCTGGCTCGCCGTGTGCTTCCCTGCATAGGCCGACCGTCTTGCGCCCCCTTGATACTTTTTCTCAACGATGTTCTGAGCTTTTTCCCTGAGAGACGGCAGCAGTGTAGACATGACTGGAGAGCGCATGTTGATGGCTTTTTTAATTGCTGGGCGTTTAGCCATCATTCTCCTAGGGGAGCAAGAAGGTGATGTGATCTTTTTTTCTAGCAACATCTTTGAGTTTAGGAAAGTCAAGAGCTCATACCTGAGCCAGGCGCAGTGCTACACACCCACAATCCTAGCCACTCAGGAGGCTGAGGCAAGAGGATTGCACATTTGAGACCAGCCTGGGCCACTTAGCAAGACCTGGTCTTAAAAAAAAGAATCAAGCAAAAAAAAAAAAAAAAAAGTCATACCTGAATTGTACCAAAGTCATACGCCTCTTCTCCCCTCCCAGTTCTTCATCCTCATGCTTCCTTCGAGGCATGTTGAACATGTTGGTACGGAAGAGCCTTCCTATTTCTTCCTCAATCTCTGTCAAGTGTTGACGTCGGAAAACAATCCAAGCTACGTATGTACAGAAAGTAAAAAAGGACTACAACAAAAACAGAGAAGGATCACCATCCCCAGAAGTGACAGGACAACTCCCACCTGTCTACAACACTGTCAAACCCAGATGACCCACTTCTCAACAGCTCTTGAAGCTGTGTGTAATTACACAGGCACTCACATCTGTGGGAGGAAAATCAGACTGGAATTCTAATGCAAAATTCTATAGATGTTAGCATCCCTTTTAGCAAAGAGAGTCACCGAAAATACACCCCTAACAAATGGCTGCTGTTCGTTCCTCTACATCATGTTTCATATGAAAGCTTAGTCCCCAACACATAAGTGCCTCACCTCAAAGAATTTCCAGTCTTTCTGTGTGTCTGACATTTTATCCCTGTAACATAACAAATCATAGTTATAGGTGGAGAGGGAAGACCAGGCTTTACCATTCTAGCACTCGTCTTCCCCTAAAGGTAGTATTGTGACCTGTGGCCCCAAGAGTATTCAGGACATAAATACTAGCACAGGGCATTGGTCAGAGGTCTCAACACCTTCTTTACCTGTCTAGGTGACCCAGATCCAAACCTCTGAAGTGTCTAGTCAAAAGTGAAATCAGGGACTGGGGATTTAGCTCAACGGCATAAGCACCTGCCTGGCAAGCGTGAGGTCGTGAGTTCAATCCTCGGTACCAAAAAAAAAAAAAAAAAGTTAAATCGGGTAGATTCAGGATAAAACAGCCAGTGGGGAATTTATTCTTCCAAATGCCTCTGCAATATGTGTGTACTCAAGAGGGAAGGACATGGATCAGGTGGTAACAGGCAATATGAGGTATTAAGCAGGTTTAGATGTGTAGAGTTAGAGGGTAAGTCTAGAAGAAGATAACAAATAGGAACCTTAATGGCAACGGCTATTAGGTGGGAAAAGAAATAGGTGCAAAACTGACAGGTTCACACCATACAATTAACAGACCGAGGACAATATTGTGTTCCTTCTTCTAATGGATACAGGCACATTTGAGCCTTAACTCTTCTGGGCAGGTGCTCACTCAATGGTCCCCATAATATGAATCTAAGGTTAAGGATACTGTATCGGCCCGAGCCGCTGAGTGAACTCGGCCCCACTTTCCAAGCAGGTCCTGCTGTTCTGATTTGGATTCCCTGCACTAGGAGAGCAGGTGAGGCCTTGAGAGCCGATCGAGTGGACAGCAGACCTGCAGCCACTTGATTAGTCATGAACACCAACGCCAGAGCCAGTGCACCCCACTCATGATCCTGGTTTTTTTTTTGGGTCTTCCCTGGAGTAACTGTGACTTACAGCATTGGCCCTGGTACCAGGTTCTCTGGAACTTTCCTTAACACCCAAATTTCAGCAAAGGTGACTCCAAACCATCAGGATCCCCAGAGTTCTCAGAGGGACCTTGGCTTGGATGGGCCCGACGCATGCTTCCATCTGGAGCAAGAGGCTAAAGGGGCAGGACAGCTTTTCTGGGGCTGGTCCTCCCTCTGTGCACTTCTCTTTATACGCTGATTTCCTCTTGGCAAGTCTTCAACAATGTTTTTTCAGTGCTACCTGAGGCCTCCACCTGGGTGGTTTCTGTCTGTGTGTGTTCTCTACCAGCTGAAAGCAATTGTGCAGACATGCCAGGCTGAGACAGAAAACCAGACATAGTGCTTTGGGTACAGCAAGTCAGTGTGTGCTCTGGGAGAAAGTTTAGAGCACAATGCAGTCAGCACCATCTTAGCAAGGTCTACAAAACGAGCTGGTGATGGTCCACGACACAGGCACGCACTTTTTCTTTTTTTCTTTTCTATTTTTAGGTCAGAGGAGAAGGTAAGATGAATGTACTCCTCTACAAGTTGCCATTAGCATAAAACCATTGCTCTCTGAAAGCCCAAAGGAAATGGATGTAGCCCACACCACGGAAATTAAGTACAGAACGTTGTGGGTTTTCTCCTTGTCATTTGGATTGAACCCAGGAAACGGTGGTGTAGAGTAAAGACATTTAGGGACCCTCATTATGTAAACCTCTCCTCTCCACATTCAACTCCTGCTGGCGAATTTTGTGTCTTTTTTTCTGTCTTTGCAATACATGATTTGTTGCAGTAAGTATATAAAACATAAAATCAATTGATTATCAATTTAGGAATTTGTGATTATAAATACCAGAATTTAAGCCCCAAATCCTCTACAAAGCAAAACAACAGCACAATCCAGTAGAAATACAATGCAAGCCATACGTGTAATTGTAAATTTTCTAGTAGCCATGGGAGGAAAAATAGGTAAAGTTGAATTTAGCAATGTATTCATTTTACCCAAACTCCCCAAATAGCATTTTAATATATAATCAAAAGTCTAAACAAAAGAGACATTTAGTTTTAAATTTTTTTTTTTTTTTTTTTTTTGAGAAAAGGTCTCACTACATAGTTCAGGATGGTCTTGAATTTGTAGCAACCTCCCTGTCTCAGCCTCTCAAGTGCTGAAATTACAGGGGTGTGCAACTATGCCTGGCTTAAACTTTTTTTATGTAGTACGTTTCACATGCATAGCATACTTCAATTTGGAGTAACTATGTATCAAGGACTCCATAGCTACATGTGGCAAGCAGCTACCACGCTGGTCTGTAAAGACATGGTAACTATAATTCGCTTTTAAGGGTACAAGCTATAGACAGAAAGGACAGGCCAATTGGTAGCATGCAGAAATTTTTAGTAGCCTGTCATGATTCTTTCTTATTTTTTCTTGCTATCCTGCTTTGTGGCTCCAAATCAAAATTAGGAAAGTAGGTCACATTATTTGTCACCCTAAAAAGATGCCAATGCCGAATGGTGGGCCTGGGTTGGGGAGCAGGAGTCCTGTTCTGGCAGTGGCCTCTGTATGAATGAGGTGTCAATTTGCTTTCATCCCTGGGAGCTCAGCCAGTGGTTGGGGAGGCTATAGCCCTGACCAGGTAGCCTATTGCTTTGGGTCTGTGATGGCAGCCCCTCATGGCTGGGAAGTGAAAAGAATTGGGATAGGTTAAGGTCTCACGGTCCCCTTCCAAGGCATGGCCCCCAGTGACCCCAGAACATCTCATGAGCACTGCCTCTTCATGGTTTTATACCTCCGCTAGTGTCACCCCAGGACCAAGGGAGTGGGAAACAGGCAGGATCCAGACTACCGCATCAGGGAGAGATGATGGTCAATTAGCAATTTTTACTGCTGCAAACATGCCAGAATCTGTGTCCCTCTGTGACCACTGTTCAGCCCTTGGGCCTGCTTGGAACTGGGTAGGTGAATGGCAGGCAAAGCTCAAAGCCCCTCTTCTCCAAATCACAACCCAGCAGGCAGACGGCAGGCAACAGCCCAGACTGAGGTAGGAGACCTGCACCTCTCAGGAATGAGCTGTGAGAACTAAACCCCACAGACTCCTTTCAAAGTCTGCATTAAAGCGGCCCTGTGAAGAGGACAGAGGACACCTGCTTATACAGAGGGTTTCTCCCCTAAAAGACTGGATTACATCGCTCACCGTGACACGTTTGTAGGTAGCCTTTCTGTTTAAAATTGGTTTCTAATGTACATGTCCTTTCAAACAGTAAAGATTAAGTATAGAAAATAAAATGATGTTTTTTAAAAAAGAAAATTTTCTTTTCATTATTAGGAGAAAGGTGTTCTTTCTGCAGTGCTGAGACTGAACCCAGGGCCTCGTACACAGCAGGTGAGCACTCCACAGTACCACACCATGCCCCCACCTGGCAGCAGGGGTCTTTTTCTTTTTAACTTTGAATTCTACTTTTCTCAACTAAAAGTGACTGTTTTTTGGGGGAAACAGAGTAGTACCAAGGATGAATCCCAAGGGCATCCTACCTCGGAGTACATCCCCAGCCCCTCTCCCTGCTTTATAAAATATCTTAAATATCTTTAGTTCCCAGGCTGGCGGTAAACTTGCTGTCATCTTGCCTCGGCTTCCTACGTAGCTGGGAAAATGGAAAGCTGACTATCATTTGACCGCAACATTTTTTCCTGAAAATTACATCCAGAGAAAGCCCCACTTCTTACAAATTATGCAATCTATATTAAGCTGAGTCCTCACCAAAAATGGGGGTAGGGGTCGGTCTTGCAAAAACCTCCTGGATTTGAATTGTAGGAAAGCTCTTAGATGCTGAATTGCTAATCCTCGATTTTAAACATCTTCTAAACAAAGAGGTACTGAATGAGCATCAAGGATATTTTTCTTCATTATCTTGAGTTTCGGCAATCAGCAACAGAGCCTAGGGGCAGCGACCTCCTCTCGCCTGAGGACCTATGTGTGGCAAACTAATATGTAGACAGAAATGACCCAACATCTCCCAGCAACAACACTTACTTTTACTTCATATGATGCACTTTTTAAAATTCTGTTCTTCTCTTTATGACTTAGTAAATGGATCTCAAGATCTATTAATGTGCGTGGGCACAATCCCTTCTCTCCTGCCTTTCGTCCGAGTCTCTACACCTCCACAGTGGTCAGCAATCTCTGGTTCCCTTAGGTGATGGCTCCTCCACTACACCCTGATAACTGTATTTTCTCTGTATTCTTCACACCACAACTCCTGCAGTGGTGGCATTCAATAAGTGTGGAGCAATTTGAACAAAATATAAACCATATAGTTCTATGTTTAAAACACAAATGCTGATCAATAAAATTATAGAAATTTCCATGGCTGGGTTTTAAAGTATCTGAAAAATTCAACATATAATAAATAATAAATGTTCCAATGGACAAAAAAATTGCTAACATATTTTTGGGAAAAGTTGGATAAAGGAAAAATATCTTACATTCATTGCTCATTCATTAAACAATATAGAAACAACTGTGTAAGTACATGCATTGAGCAAACTAACTCTGAAAATGTAGGGGATGTAGAGAGAGATAAATCACGTAGTGAGTTCTTTTCCTATTGAGTGTTTAAAAAATTTGTGAACTCAGTGCAGTGGCACACAATTATAAACCTAGCACTGGGGAAACCTGAGGCAAGAGAATCACAAGTTCAAATCTAGCCTGGACAATTTAGTGTGACTCTGTCTCAAAATAAAACTTTTTTTTGGTACCAGGAATCGAACTCATGACTTCACACTTGCCAGGCAGAAGCTTGCAGTGCTGAGCTAACCCCCTGGCCCAAAATAAAACTTTTTAAAAAGGGTTGAGGTGCCAGCTAGGGGACAATCAGAAACCCAAACCTATATACGAGTCAGCAGAAGTCACACTGGCTGGGGAGAACCTGGAATCCAAACCCCCACTGAGTCAGTAGCAGTTGTGCCATCTGGGGAGAACCAGAAACTCAAGCCCCTCTGTGCCAACACAAGTTGGGGGAGAACTAGTGAAGAACCAGGAACCCAAGCACCCCATCTCTACTCCCCCTACCTGCCCTGTGAGCCAGCTGGCACCTGGGCCAGGAGAAAAGAGCACCTCCCTCTCCAACCCTAAGCAACCAGCTGATTCAGAGGAACCCAGGCTGAGATGATAGCAACTGCAGTAAAGAAACAATTTAGGGGCTGGGGGTTTAGCTCAGTAGAAGTGCCTGCCTGGCAAGTGCAAGGTCATGAGTTTGACCTCCAATACCAAAAAAAAAAAAAAAAAAAGAAAAAGAAAAAGAAAAAATAGTTTAGGTGCTGGGGATTTAGTTCAGCAGCGCAAGTACCTGCCTGGCATGCATAACATTGTGAGTTCAATCCCTGATACAAATAAATAAATGACAATAAAAAAAGAAAACAATTTAACCCTTGTATTGGTTGATTGATTTTTCCTAAACTTGACAGTCTGAGCAATGATTTAAAGGATGACAAGAGGCATTCTAGCGGTCAGTGTTGATTTCCTATTATCTTGTTTTTAACCCCTGTGTTGTTTTCACTGTTTTGTGTTGATTGGCTTCAGTCTATTGTAGTTTGTTTGGTTTTATTCTCTATAAAATAAAGAAAATGAAAATTAAAAATAATAAAAAGGGTTGAGGATGTAGCAAAGGTCCTGGGTTCAATCCCCAGTGTGGAAGAAAGGAGAGGAGGAAGAAGTGGAGGAGAGGCAGAGAGAGAAGGAGGAAGAGGGTGAAAATGTGGGGGGGCTAGACATAGAAAGGAAGAAGAAATTTGGGGTTAAGGGTCAAAGCTTCCCATTCTTTGATCCAAACTTTCCTGTGGGGAGACTCCTTTTAAAATTTTAATTACAGTAGTGTAGACACTGTCCTCCACAGGTAAAAATTAACTTCCCAATGAGTCATCTTATCATTGGCAGCTCATGGTCACAGCTGTGCTCACTGCCCCCACCCCTGCAGCACTGTCCCATCCATGGACCTCCCAGATACCAGGCATCTGGCCTATTTCAGTTGACACCAAGACTCCACTGAGAGATCAAGACAGTAAATCCCAAGCAGGGAGGGCTTTGCAAGAACCAGCTGAGATTCTGGACTGCCTTCCACACTCACTTTCTCTCTGAGAGAGACAGACAGATGCTTACTTGTGCCCAGTTATAGTGCCAACATCAAGGGAACCCTTTCCCAAGGGCACCAGAGATAGAAAAGGCTGAGATGTGACACCCTTACGGCCCTGGAAATGCACACTTACTTTCCGCAGCACATGTGGTGCTTATCTGGCATGCCCAAACCCAGCACAAGGATACAGTACTTCTTTGCCAGGTATTTCTGGGCTGCTACTAACTTGCTTAAGATCAGCTCCATTTCCTTTTTCTCTACAAGACCCCTGGGGGGAGACAAAAGACAATATAGTTTAATTTGAGCCAGTGCTTGCATTTATGAATAAAAAGTCAGACTCAAACTATTTTAAAATAAATACTAGGAAGTCATCGCATTTTCACTTATCATTTAACTTGTCTCTGTAAAGTGGTGGCATAGGGAAATGCTCCAAGTCCCTTGATAATGACTAATCATGGGAATCAGCATCTCAAGTCTATGGTGAATTTTCCCTTGTTCGTAACCCTTTACTCTTTTTTAATAGGTACTGGGGATGGAACTCACAACTGCGCACTTGCAAGATAGGCTGCTGCTGAGCTAAACCTCCAGCCCTCTTAATGCTAATTGCGTATCCTCAGTTTTACTAAGCCCTAACCTTGACAGAATAGCTCAGCTGATAAAGTTACCATACTGGTTTGCTCAGCCAGCTGGCAGTTTACAAGCCGCTGTTTTCCTAACACATCTGTGCAAACTGCCATCCCAGCTCCCCAGGTTCCGGGTTTCTAAAAGCCTGGGGCTCCGTGTCTGAATTCAGTTCCCAGTTCTGCTGTGTCTGCTAAGGAGCTATTTGCATCCTGATGCAAAACAAAGCCCTGTGCTAACTGCATTGCAAATGAACTTTGTAAAAGACAACCCATCCTTAGGTTACAGCATATCTGAGGGCTAATTTTAAGTTTCTGTAGCATAGGAGGAAATAATGTTGCTGACGCCACCTTCCAGTGTGCTGCCCAGAAGTTATCGCTAGATGCCAAATCAGATGCACTCTAAACAGCAACACGTGATGCTACACTCACTGCACAAAGGTACGCTGTGAGGGGAAAGGATGAGTTTAAGGGTAATAGGAGTATTTCAAAGCATGAAATCTTACTTCATGTGCTTATTATTACCAAAGCCTGCAAATCACTGGAATGAAATATTCTGGGGATAGATAAAGTGGGCTCCAACCTGAAGTACCCGAATGCCTAAACCCCACTCACCCTTCCACCTGCCCCCTGGCCTGATTAACCCCCTCCCCCCACCGTTCCCCTCACGGCCCTTTTCAGCTGGCCATGCTCCCCATGACGCTACTTGGCTACAACTGCCAGCAGCAAATACTTTTTTGCTGCAGAAAATAAACCAAACAACAATCAAGGAATGAATGCCTTGAAATTTTGGCTAATGATTCTCAAGTTTCAGCTGATGTATGAATTACTGAAGAGTCGCCTGGGGTGCCTGCCGCAAGTACAGATTTCCAGTGCCACCCCCTCTTCAGCATTCTGGACAGAGCCCAAGAAGCAAAACAATTGCTCTGCAGTGACTCTGAGTCAGGAGGTTCTTGGGCCACATTTGGAAACAGACAAAAAGGTTCCTGTGTTGAAACAAGGGAAAAAAAAGAAGAAAGAAAAAGTGGTGGAAAAAGAGGCAACAGAAGGTAACCCAGACACCAAATTCCAGGGACGGGCCACCCACAGCAAGACTCTGTGTCTGACACTCACTTCCCTATACTGTTTTGCTTCTTTGTGTAACACTGCCTCACACACACTCCTTAACACCAGCTGGCTGCCTCCTCAGTGGTGCACAGGGAGGGCCTAACAAGCCCTTAAAAATGTGCCTTAAAAATGTGCGTGATCGCACTGACTACATTCTGCTTAAACTGATGTATTCATATATTGTTGATAGCAGAAAAGCAGCAAAAAAAAAAAGCTTGAAAAAAATTTAAGAGTAGAAATGTTCATAAATTTTGACCCAATAGTGTCTCTCCTGGAAATTTTTTAAAAATCACTCAAATTTGGAGGGAGGATTGTTCTCTGCCTGCAGATAGTTAATATAATTATTATTCATCTAGCAGAAAAATTGGAAACTGCCAAGATATATAAAATGAGACAAAGAAGAATCCCCATCAAGAACTGTTTAAAGACCTGACATTTATGATCACAATCTATGAATGAGTCTCTGTGAGATTGATCACAGCCATCAAAATCTCTACCGCTAGCCCCTAAAACATCCGGCCTCTGAGGAGTAAAGTCAATCTGTCTACATTTGACACCTTAAAAAGTTATAAATATGAAGACTGTAACAACTTGAAAAGTGCTTATGACATTATAGTGCCTTTGTCCAGAGGTTATAAATCTTAATTCTGAAGGGATAAACTTGGAAAACGTGAACCTCGTTGATTAGCAGTGGGCACTGGGCATGCTGCACAGTAGTCTGTGCACCAGCTTTAACTCTGGATTCTAATCTAAACTCCATTATGTTAGGTAGGTAACTGCCACAGCCATTTACCCTCTTGGAGCCTGAATTTTGAATTTCTTCACCTGGAAAATGAGGAGAAGCTCTCTTGTTTTGAAATTCAGGTTTTTGCTCATCTAAAATCACCCAGGTGTATCTTTTACATCCTCTTCTCTCACCCTTCCTGCTGTCCTCACAAGCTGCAGGGTTTCCTTCCCCGTGAAGCTCTGGATAAGACAATTCGTACTGTCTCATTTAATCTGTGTGACTGTGAGTTACATGCTGCCACCATCTATATCCTATCCCTGACTAGTTTAACCAAAATACGTTTTTCCTTCTGCACAGATATCTCAAGGCAATCAGTATGTATTTCTATATAACAAGTAAACTCACCAACTACTGCAAGTTTACAAATGAAAGGTTATGACTATTTTTTAGACTCAAATCACAGAATCAATACTTTGAAGACTGGGTTTGGTTTGATTTTTATCATTCTATGATTGATTCCATCTAAGAAATTATTTTATACCACTGTGTTCCAGCAAGCTTTTAAAATTAAGAAGACTTTTTTATTACTTATAAATTAAGATACAAAATAAATCTCCTTACTAGATTAGTAGTAACGTTCAGAATTAGAAAAGACCAGATAAAATTAACAAACCAAAGGGCATCAAGGGTAGTAAGTTTCTATTTGGGAAGAGTAAGAATTCTCCGGCTTCTCTGCCCACAGCTGGCTTCCGAGGCTTGCTCACTGCTATGGAAACTCTCCATGCTCCAGCTGTCCTGCTGAGGAACCCCACCCCGGAAGAACACTCACATTGCACGCAAGGATGACATTACAGGAGTAGCAGTATTAGAATTACACATTTGAGTTTTTATAAAACTGATGTCCAGAAACACTCATTTATCTGTAAAATGTTTTGCAGGCTGATTATGTAAGAGTTTTGCACCTTAAAAACATTCTGCAGCAATTAGTTAATAATTCTACCCAGCATTCCTAACAACCAGATCATCAGGTTAGTTCTGCATGTACTGGGCAGGACAGCCTGGGCACTTGGAAAGTTCCATGGCTTTCAAAAGGTCACCAAGCCTGAGAGGCGTTGCTCTGCCCTGGATTCTGAGCTCCTGGGTTCTTGCCTTGGCAGACTCCGAGCCATCTCGGCCTAAAGCAGGTACATCCTTTAGAAACAACCCAAGAAACCTCAGGGGTGATGTGGAATGGAATGGAGTTTTGGCCAGATCTATTGTTTTTTAAAAATTTTTCAGCTTTTTAAAGTAGAGGCATAGAAGTCCTTGAGTAAAACACTTTGTAAGCACAAACAGCATAGAAAAAACTCTAACTGCATTGTTCCATGTGGTAGCCACTAGCGACGCGTGTTGTTGAACGCCTGAAAGGTTAGTCTGAATCCAGATATGTCGTGAGTGTAAACACCAGATTTCAAAGACTTATTTTTTAAAAAGTAAAATAGCTCACTACTAACTTCCTAATATATATGTTGCAAAAATAACAGCTTTGAGTTATTGGGTTAACTAACCTAAAATTAATTTCCTCAGCATCTTTTTACATTTTTAAGACACGGTACAGAAACATTCAAACTACATATGTGTCTTTCATTATATCTCATTATTAGGCAGTTCTGGTCTGTATTAGTTGAGGTATTTTTTTTTCTTTTCTTTTCTTTTCTTTCTTTCTTTTTCTTTTCTTTTCTTTCTTTTTTTTTTTTTTTTGGTACTGAGGATTGAACTCACGACCTCACACTTGCCAGGCAGGCACTTATGCTGCTGAGCTAACTCCTCAGCCCCTGAGGTATTTTCTTATAAAAATATACATGTATTTTTTTCAGTGAACTTAAAAGTTGACAAATTTCTCCTATGTCCAATGTCTTCATAGAATCTAAAGATTTTTTTTTAAATTCCATCATCTCTTCACAGTATATAAAGTTTAGTTTTAATACTGGTGGTGATAAAACCCTACAGTGCATCATAGAGACTTACTTACACCATATAGCTTTTGGGTTTCTTTTCCAGTGAATTTTTTTCCAAGAAATAAGACAAGTAGTACAATAACGCCATGAGGAAAATGTCGAGATTCTTATTTCTAGAGAGATTTGGGGGGGAAAGAAAGAAATCAATACTAACCCATTTTAAATAGCAGGTTTGTCATAAAAATACATATGAACACACCACAGAAGAATACATAGGTAGAAATACATGTTATCATGCCTATCACACAACTAATTTGTCATTTAGATTTTTCTACCATATCATTGAAGTTTTAACAAATCTGATTTTTAAAACTTATTTTTGAGAGCTGAGAATTTAGTTCAGTGGCATAAGCACCTGCCTGGCAAGCGCTTGGTTGTAAGTTCGATTTCCAATACAAAAAAAAAAAAAAAAAAAAAAATTTGGAAGTCAGACACTAAATTCTTATAGTTATGTTCATTAATTCATTTTCGTCTTTAAAAAGGTATAGGAGTAATATATTTCCATTGTTTCAAAAATGCATAGAAATATATGAAGTAAAGATGTCTCTTTTCCCATTCTTTGTCACCTTCTTACTCCCTAGGGCAGCCACTATGAAGAATTTGGAATGAATTCTTCCTTGGCCTTCTAAAACATAAGCAATCACACATAACATCCTCCCCTACAAATACATACATCGGCATGCACATGCGCATTAAAGGGCCTTTTCTTAGAACTAAATGGGATAATGCTGTCGACATGATGCTTTGAGACTTGCCTTTGTCATCTGTGTGAGTAGTGCGTGCCTCTATGATACTGTATATAGATTTCCTACATTCTTTTAAACAGCTGAATAGAGAACTCTGTATCTCATAAGTTACTTAACTAGTTCTCTACGGATGAATATATAGGTCTCTAAAAAATATTCTAGACAGTAGCTAGGAGTATAACTCAGGGGTAGAGTACGTGCTTAACAAACAGGAAGCCTATAAATAAATAGATTTTTTTAAACAAAAGTGAACTTGCTGGAGTATAGTACATATACATATTAAGTTTTATGTTTTGCTCTCCAAAAACAGTACAGTGGTTTACAAGACTCTCACATTTGTTTTTTATTAGAAGCCATTGTTTTCTTTCTAAATATTCATATGACTTTTTGGTGACTTTTAACCCCAAACGGATTTGCTATTGTGGAACTAAGGAGTGAACCCAGGACCTTCACACTGAGCCACGTCCCCAGGCCTTCTTTTTTTTTTTTTTTTTTTTTTTTTTTTGATTTCCAAACTTTTGTTTTTAAAATACTTACTCAGTTATCTATTTATTTGCAGGAAGTGATTTTCCCGACTCCCCCTCCAGCCCACGCCACCCGAATGTCCTGTGGTCAGGCCTGCCAGATGATCCCCAGTGCCCCACCTTTGTGTGAATGCACACTTGCTGGGCACTGGCAAAGTGTGTGTGCCGGGGGACAGGGGTATGACTCAGGCTTCAGAGTATTTGTCTAGCACATGCTTGGCCCTCGTCCATCCCCAGAACTGCAAAAAATAACCAAAATAAGGGCAGGTGCCTTGCAAAACAGCTACACGCAACCATATAAAGGAAATTTCATCTATCACTTCCCTGTTTTTATAGCTAAGATGCTTTGAAAAGTCAATCGCCCAGAGCCACTTTTTGCGAGAAAACTCTTCTAGATGAACCAGTCTCTTCTGTGACTTTTATACAAGAACAGTTCAGTCCATAAGGGGACTCTTGCACCCTGCTTTCTGTACCCCATGCCCTAGGGGCTCCCAGGACTTGGGGCTCCGTGTCTGAAGCCCTCTTCTCCCAGATTCTCTGGTCTCTTAGACACTTCTTTCTGAGAGGCCAGCTTGTACACCGCCAGACTCATACTTTTTCTCTAAAAATCACTATCTGTCCTCATTTATCACACGGAATTACCCCAAAATAAAAGGGAAAAAATCCACTGTATCTCACAAGTTTCCATACCGCATGAACGTTGTAAAAGAACAGATCCGCTGCATCTCCGCGTCTTGGAGCAAAAACAAAGCAACAACTGAAAGAAGAGAAGGTGGACAGCTGAAGGAGGAGAAAAAGCCACCTTAGAAGTTCAGATAGCGCGGGGAAGGAGGAAGAGCAGGTCACTTACACTTAACATCATCCAGGGTAATGTGGCCCTGCTGACCTCGTTTCTCTGAGGCCTTTATGGACTTCTCATCTCTTGAAGAAAGCTTTTTGTCAGTCAACCTGTTACAGAATATAGGAGTCTCTGAGAGTGCTTTAGTTTGAAGACAAGGTCTCACTTTGTTTTTTTTTTTTGTTGTTGTTGTTTCTACCGGTACTGGGGATCGAACTCACAACTGACTACTTGCAAGGCAGGCACTTACACTGCTGAGCTAAATCCCCAGCCCCCAAGGTCTCACTTTGAATGCAGGCTATCCTTGAACTCACTATTTGCTTATGTAGCCCAGGCTGGCCTCAAACTCACAGCAATCCTCCTGCTTTAGCCTCTTGAATGCTGGAATTACAGGCAGGTGCCACCATGTCTGGCTCCAGGAGTGCTTTTAGTTGTTTCTAATCTATCCTGCCATGCACAAAGCATTTACCATAAAGTAATGGAAGCCTGAGCATCATGCATGGGTTTCATCTAATGTAATGCCATTTATTTTTTTTTTCTTTTTTTTTTTTTTTTTTGGTCTTTTTCATTTTTATCGGTACCAGGGATCGAACTCACGACTGCCTGCTTGCAAGGCAGGCGCTTATGCCGCTGAGCTAAACCCCCAGCTCCAATGTAATGCCATTTAAAAATGCATTTTATTAAATGTTACGTTTATTAATTTAGGGGCAGAAGGCATGCACATTCCCTGATAGAAGATGTGAACACAGGACTGGGGAAGAGCTCAGTAGTGGGGTGCCCAGGCCTCTAGATGAAAAACAAAACACAAATCCTATCCAAAAGAGATTGTTTCAATCATCTGTTCTGGTATAGCCACCATTTTCAGATTAAGAAAAAAAACTATAAAAAGTTGGTAAATTGCTAGCAGCCAAGTTTTCACAAGGATACATTTAGGGACCATGTGTAACTCCCATCACAATGCTGCAGTAGCTTCCCTGTGCCTTTGATGAGTGCTTTTCCTCGATGGATATTTCAGCTGGGATAATGGGACTGTGATCTTTTTTGAGTTTGTGAAGACTTCAGTGATTCCCCTGAGAGGTACCACGGGCAGCCCCAGGGCGGGTACAAGTTAAACCACCTTTCTGAAGCTGCGCCATCCACTTCTGTAAAGTGCACTGCCTTGCCTTTCTTTCCTTTTTCCTTGAGTTCTACTGTAGGTGCAAAACTGTAACAGAAATGAGATCATTAGGAACTTGACCTTTCCCCAGGGAAGATGAACCCTATCACAACCATAACTCATGCAATCTTAGGGCTGACATCAATTCTTTTGTTTGGTTTGGTTTTAAATTAGATTTTATTGGTACATTTTAGATATACATAATGATCACATTCATCATACAGAATTTGTACCTGTACATGATATAACTCATTTTTTCCTACTCCCCTATTGTCCCTAAACCCTTCCTCCCCTCCCCGTTTACAAAGCTTTGTTTCTGTGTTTTCCTTCTTTCTCTCTCTCTTTTACATTTTGCCCTTCTTTCCTTTCCCCCTTAAGAGTAGCAGCAATTACTTGTTTTGTGGTTTTTTAAGACAGGGTCCTGCTATACAGTTCAGGCTGACCTTGAAATCACTGTGCAGCCCAGGCTGGTCTCAAACTCCTAAAAGTCCTCCTGCCTCAGCTTCCCAAGTGCTGGGATTACAGGTATGTGTCACCACACCCAGCTGGGATTAGCATCAGTTATAAGCAGAAGCTGAATACCTTCAGGCACAAGGCAGTGTTCAATTCATGTATTTACATATGGAACTATTATCTAGAGAAAGATTAGACCTTCAGAGTTTACATTCAATCTCTTCACCTCAGCAGACTCCAGATCACCATCATACACAAATATGTCTTTTTTCAGTCTCTGTTATTAGTCCATGTTGGCATTACATAACAATTACACACCTTGTGTGGAGTCGGTTACAAGCAGATAACACATATTAGGGGTTTTTTGGTCCCCTTTCCCTCCCCCTCCTGTCTCCTCGCTCCATCTCTTGATTTCCTTCCCATTTGAACCAAATCTGTGCCTCTACTATCTTTTATTTTGCTCCTTATTTGTATTTCTTATAAGAGAAACCATGTGACCATACAGCAGTATTTCTATCTGAAAGTCTTGTAGCTTCAAGGAAGCTCATCAATTTGGAAGAATGTTTTTCAACCTGTTCTTGTCATGGGCCAGGTGCCTTTAAAATAAACCTCATTTAATTATCATAGCAACTTGATGAGGAATACATTACCAGTATCCCAACATTTTACATCCGAGCAAACCGCAAGTTGGAAATTTGTAACTTGGGCGTGATGGGCACCCCAGTTCTCCAGCCACAGAGCTGTGAGCTCAGCCACCAGGCGGGGCAGCGTCCGAGGCAGCCATTTCAGTGCCATCTGTGGACCTGTCTGAAGGACCTACCCATCTCCAGGAAGAGCTAAGTAGATTTACAGGAAGAAACACTATATGGTTAATACCTTCTGTTGGGAGCCGCGGCCGACACCGGTCGCCTTACTTGGCGGACGTAGGGCCTGTGGGTGGGAGCGGAGCCTGAGCTAGATTGCCCCTCCCACCGAGTGAGCCAAGTTGGCACCTGCTTCCTGCCCCCTGATTGCGCTAGCGACTTAAACAACCCGCTCTGTAAGATAGTCTGCCTAGCAACAGCTGATGTTAGCCAGTCAGCCCGCATCGCGCGCTTTGAACTGATTGGCCACTGTTACCCTATAAAAGTAAATGCCTCTCCCGCCACAAGAGAGAAAGCACAAAGGAAGCACAGAGAGAGATAGAGAAAGTCCACCGGCGAGAAAGGGCTGGTGGCAGAGAGGAGGCCTCGCGGGGCCCACGCGGAGACAAATAAAGGCAAGGTTGCACACCGCCAGACTTTGTCGTGTGTCTTTCCTGCCGGCCGGGAGCGACCCCGACAACCTTCTACTGACAAACCACCTAGAGAACCTCCAACAAAATACTCAACCCCAAACATTTAGGGTATTCCCATGGTTTTGCTGATGTGTAAACTGCACATCAGCGGGGCTGGGGATTTAGCTCAGTGGCATAAGTGCCTGCCTTATAAGCAGGCAGTCGTGAGTTCGATCCCCAGTACTGATAAAAAGGGAAAAAGGCAAAAAAATAAAAAAAGAAAGAAAGAAAAAAAAAAAAAACCTGCACATCAGCTCCTCCAGTCCCTAACATTTTCTGGTTTTCCATGGTCTAAGACAGTGTTTTGGGCCTCTTTTTTTTTTTTTTTTTTTTTTTTTGGTCTTTTTCGTTTTTATCGGTACCAGGGATCGAACTCACGACTGCCTGCTTACAATGCAGGCACTTATGCCACTGAGCTAAATCCCCGGCCCCAAGTTTTTTTTTCTTTCTTTCTTTTATTTTTTTATTTTTGTCTTTTTCATTTTATCAGTACCAGGGATCAAACTCACGACCGCCTGCTTGCAAAGCAGGTACTTATGCCGCTAAGCTAAATCCCCAGCCCCTGTTTTGGGCCTCTTAAGCCATTGCCCATTACATTTGTGTTTCTCTTCTCCAAGCTGGTGAATGTCTAATGAAATTATCTCCTGCCTTCTGCTCAGGCTCATCCCTAAAATTCAGTTCCTCACTATCCTAGTTTGCCTGTAGTGTTTTCAGATGAGAAAGCCTTCAAATAAGGAATTTTGAAAGATCTGGGACTGTGAACTAGGTAAACGGCTTTGAAATTATAAAGCCATAGAATCATAGAATTCTGGGCTTAGGGGACATTTAACAGATATCTATAGAGGTCTGTTATCTGGCTGATGGAAACCGAAGGCTGCTGAGGCTCCTGTGTCCCTGTGTTTGAGACAGGAGATGGAGTCGGCAATTCTGCTCAACTTCCTTACTCTCCTCCTCTGGCCATGGCGTCTCTCCTTTGCATTTGTCTGAGTGCTCTTCACTGGATTAGGCCAGTGAAGAGTCACTCCCACCTAGCTGTCTGGACACAGATTTCACTGTGAGCACCTGCCAACAGCTCTTATAGTAGCTGGTGCTCACAATGCACGCAGGCCTGCTAAGAGGCGATGCCAGCAACCATGTAAAATTGCCCTTTGAATTGCACCTCTGACTGGCTCCCAAAACAGTCTGGGCTAATTTGTACCTTCTCACACTCTCCCCCTTCCACCTGGAAGCCCAGTCAGAATATGGTCCTCTCTAGCCTATTAGACGTGATTTCCTAGTATCACAGCATGTTCACATCATTCCCCTTTGGCCTGAAGGAAACAAAATTCACACTTGTCCTCTAGAACCCTTATCACTGAATGCAGAAGGCTGGATTACTTGGCTTGCACACAAGTCAGAGCTGGTCCAGTGTTAGCAACAGTGGGCCACGATGACAGGAACTTCCTGAGGGGCAGAGCCCCTATAGTTCTAGGGCCTCAGAGAAGTCCTTGACTTTATAGATATGTGTGCTGTCTGCTGGTTCTCTTCCAGCTGGGGGTAGCCCTTGAAAAGAACTAGAACTGCTGACACTGTCGGACAGAAGCATGATATGGGGGCTGGCTTTAGCCCAGCGGTTCCTTCGAGTCTGGCTTCCCAACCGCCCGGGCCGATCGGTCTGGTGGTTTGAGACCTGCGGGCGCTCTCCAGTCCTTTAAAAAAAAGAAGAAGAAGCATGATATGGCCCGTGGATAAAGGTCCTCTCTCTTCAACAGGGAGAGAGAACTGGCTTCACTGGGCACCGTGGCACTCACTATAATCCCTGTAACTCAGGAGGCTGAGGTAGAAGGGTTATTTTATAATTCTAGGTCAGCTTGGGTAATTTAGCAAGATCCTGTTTCAAAACTGAAAATTTGGGCCAGGGATTTAGCTTGGCAGCACAAGCACCTGCCTGGCAAGCTGAGGTCCTGAGTTTGGCCCCTGGTACAAAAAACAAAACAAAAAAACCTGAAAATTTAAAAAGGGATGGGGTTGTTGCTCAGTTAGAGGTACATGGTTAACTCCACAAAACCACAAAAAAAGAAGGAAGGGGGGTAGGCAGGGCAAGAGGGGCACAGTGATTGTTGAAGTCAGGTATTGCATGGAGAACAATTGCATATAGGACACAGAATTTATACTATTTTATGATGGTCACCCAGAGTTAACACAACAATGTGCAGGAAATCTTTCCCCAAGACTAAAGACCTAGAAAATCCAGGCAAGGGCCTGAATCCTATAGCAATGTCCTGCATGAGTCCAGCTGAAGACCTAGAACCCATGACAATGGCCCCCCTGAGTCCAACTGGAGACCTAGAGCCCATGACAATGACTCACACAAGTCTGTTTTATGGATCTGCACTGGGAAGGCCCAAAGGTCAGCTGTGGAAGTTGGAAAGTCTATGCCAATGGGATGAAGGAGCTGTGCCAATAGGTTGAGGTTCTACATTTGGAGCCAAGAAGCAATGCTCAAAATAAGGACCAAGGCTCCCCTGAAAAGTACCACAGCCATCCTCAGGGACAATGAGGTCCTGAGCTCCTCTGATGATGAGAACAGCCAAGTTCACATCAGGAAGCCAGCATAACAAGCTTCTCCTGGAGACTGAACAGCACCCATCTTCCCCTCTGGAGCCAGGAAATGATGCTCAAAGTAAGGACCAGAGCTCCCCTAAAGTGAACCTCAGCCATTCTCAGCAACAAGGTCCTGAGCTCTTCCAATGATAATGGCTGACCTCCTGTCAGGGAAGCCAGCATAACAAGCTCCTCCAGGACAATGAACAGCTCCAAACAATAGCAACACTTAGGAGAACCCACAGTGCTATGCTCTTCTTCTCCACATCTCTTTTATATGCTGGCAACTTTCACTCAGCACCGTGCTGATTCAGTTCAGCTGGTGTTAAAGTTGACCACTAGTTTTTAATCCATAACAGTGGTCCACGCCTTCCTACTCAGGAGACTGAAGAGTGAGAATTACTTGAGTCCAGGACTGTAAGACTAGCCTGCACAACACAGAAAAACCAATCCCAGTCAATCAATCAATTAATAAATCATGCATGCTGATAAATCAAGCAACACCTTCTCTCTTCATGACACACTTTTGGGGAGGTGATTTGAAAAAATCACACTATGTACTTCAAGCTGGACTCAAACTCACTGTGTAACCCAGGTTGGCCTTGAACTCATAGCAATTCTCCTGCCTCAGCCTCCCAAATGCTGGGATTACAGACATGCACTACCATGCTTGGCTCATAATGTATTACTCTTCAGAGTAAGGAACGAAGGATTAAGGAGGTCACACAACTGGACAAATGATGACCACCTAGTCAGGGGTAGAGGTAGGACTGGAAGCCAAGTATCCTCTTAAACCATTCTTCACTGTCTTTTCCTGAGCTGCATACTAAGAAATAATGACCATCTTTCCCTGTCATTACTGTGTGTTCATTTCTTTCCAGCCTCATGAAATTATTTCTTTACTTCAGCTGCTCTCCTTTCAGAAATTTCAGGGGTGTAACTTCCAATTTCTTCCATTTCTTTGTCTCCAAGATTCATTCTGTGTGGGCTTGACGTTCTCCTGGGTTCCTTCAGACAAGCTGGTTGTGGGGTCACAGGTGCTTCCCGCATTGGCTGCCCGTACACCATGTATGGGAATGAGCCAGGCACCTGGGTTTCTCCTATCCTCCTAGGTTCCCAGGGAGGCAGTGTGGTATATGGCTGGCTTCTCCAGACATGTGCAGCTACACCGAGCGAGGCTCCCACAATGGCGGCAGGTGTGCAAGAGCTTGGCAGGCTGGTTCTCTCCAGCAGCACTGGCTACCGGTCCCTGATGGCAGCTGGCAGGTTTGCAGGGGTATCATGTTCAGTTTCTTCTTCTGGTGTTGACAGGTCTGTGATAATGTCTGTGTTGCATCCCAGAGATGTGCTGGGTATGGACCTGATCTTGGCCTCTGGGCTGGGATTGGTCTTCAGTCAATGGAGCTCTCCAGAGTTCAATTGCTGTCTCTTCGCTGCTGCTTCAGACACTTCCACGTCACTAGCCTCACTGATTACTTCACACTCCAGACGTGTGTATGCATCTGTGCGCCAAGCTGTTATCCTGGATCTTGAGGTTCCCCTTGGTCTTACACTTTTCCAGCTGGCCCACCCTCCAGAATGCAATGGATGAGGCTCAGATCACAAACTCAGTGTCCTCGAGCCAGCCAGCCCACTGGGATGTAATTTCTTGCACAGGGTTAGGGCTAACCTGATCTGATAGTTCTCTCCCTCCGGGTATAATCTACCAAGTGAGGTAAGATGTACCTGTGAATGGGGTACCAGGTGAAGATTTCCTGTCAGTTACCCAGGAAAGATGCCTGGACAGGAGAGGGGAAAAGGGTCATCTCTTGATGTGAACTTGAGATAGCCACAAATTCAGACTCCTCTTGGCTACTGGCTATAAAACTGGCCTATACCCTGCAATCCCAGCATTCTGAGAGGCTGAGTCAGAAGGATCACAAGTAAGACAAACCTTGGTAATTTAGTAACTAAGTGAAACCTTGCTTCAATTAAAATAATAAATTAAAAAGGCTGATGATGTAGATCTATATGAAGATCTTGGGTTCAAACCCCAGTACTGAAAAGCAACAAACTAGATTTCACACAGGAAAACTAGAAAGTCCAGAAGACTTTTCAGGACCTTAAATTGATGGGGCAGACTCAGGCTAACTGGATGATCTATATTCATGCCATCCCACTTTCCTCCCTCTCTCTGGCTAAAATTTCTTGGGCTCCCTCAAGGGTGTGTTTCTTAAATGAGAACCCTTCTCAGAGATCCGCAGGGTTACTCTCTTTTCTTTCCCCTGGAGTGATTCCGTCTACTCCCGTAAGGCTGAATTCTTTCAAGTCTGGAATCAGTCTGTCCCCTTCTCTTCCTACTGCTACCAGCATCTGTCAAAAATTTCTGTTTAACTGAACTCTCAGCCTCCCATTTTATCTCAAAAAACAAAACTAAAAAAAAAAAAAAAAATCAGAGATACATCCTGAGTCCAATCTCTAGGGCAAAAAAGGAAAAATAAAACACTCATACAAGTTTTAATACTTTAAGAAAAAAGGGGGGGGCTGGGGATTTAGCTCAGCGGCATAAGCACCTGCCTTGCAAGCAGGCAGTCGTGAGTTCGATCCCCGGTACCGATAAAAATGAAAAAGACAAAAAAAAAAAAAAAAAAAAAAAAGCTGGCAACAAAATCTGACCTGCAAAGACTTCAATGTACAGGTATGATCAGTCACACAATATGAAGCAAATGTAACTGGTATGTTGAACACATAAAAATAAAGTGGTAACTCCTAATTGTGGTACACTGGCTTGTCTTTGGGGATAGAACTGGGTTGGAATCACTTTTTACTTTGCAAGTTTATACGTACTTATATGTATGTTTATGTATACTTTTCTGAGTATGTGTACAATTTGATAGTGAGAAAAATACAAAATGATGGAAATGTAGAATATAGTAAATTTAAAATGTGTATACCCACCCCATTAATATCAGGAGAGAGAAAGACAGGTAGAGAAGAGAAAGAAGAGACAGAATACGAAAGCTAAAGGTTACTACGTCGACAATTATTTTTGCTAAGTGAGATTATCAATTTTCTTTTTTTTCTTTTTGGTACGGGGGGATTGAATTTATGACCTTGTACGTACCAGGCAGGCACTTATAATCCAGCCCTTTTCATTTGTTTTTGCTTATTGGTTTGGATTTTTGTTGTTTTTGTTTTAGTTCTTGGGATTGAACTCATTGTGCTACATCGCACCAATTTTAATTTTTTAGTTTGAGACAGGGTCTCCCTGAGTTGCCCAGGATGGTCTTGAATTTATAATCTTCCTGTTTTTCCTGAGCAGCTGGGATTCCAGGTGTGCACCACCACATCTTGCTCCATTTTTAAACTTACTTGCATACACTTATTTTATAATTTTAAGAAGGATTTTAATTTTAGGGTTCTGGCTTTCATCATTTCACTTCCCAGTCTAATTGCGTACCCACCTTTCTCCTGAGGTCCAAATTCCCACTTACTGGCTTCTTGACCTGTGTGGTGCAGGTAGGCACCTCTAAGTTTGCATGTCTAAGAAAAGTAAGCTTACTATCTTTCAGCTCCTCTACATAAAACACGCCACATCCCTCCCTCTCTGTTCTCCTGCCAGAGTTCATCTGAGGCCCAGGCAACCCTCTGGGGATTGCTGCCAACCGTCTTGTCCACCTAATCTGAATCTCCTGCAGAAGTGGCCTTATGAGCAAAGATGCAGCCACCCCATGGGGCTTTCTGGAGGGAGGGAGGGCTGCTATCTCTGAAGCTTCGATCCTGGCCCCTGTCTCCTCATACATTCTCAGACTTTAACTGGAAATCAATCTGTATTTTTCCACCAAATCCACTCACTCACTCTCACCTAAAAAACACAAAGGTCTGCTTTCTTCTTCCTTACTATGCCCCTTGGCAGGTGCACTGAACATAAACTAACATTTGCCAAGTTGGATGCCTTCACCTCAAAGCAGCTGCACCTCAAATGGGCTGAGCTTTTGACTCACTGTACCCCTTTCTTCATTTCTCCAAGGGTCTAACGTGTATTGTATATTTCACAGCGTCTGGAGGCTTATGACTTTTTTATGTTTTAAATTGAGTTATAACTTACATGTAGTAAAGCATAAAAACCCTAAGTATACACAGTTTGATGAAGTTTTAATATGTGCATATCCATGTGAACACAACCCACAGAACATACACCATTTCCAACACCTCAGGAGATTTCCTTGTACCTTACTCTGTGCCCTACAAGTTGAAAACTACTCTAAAAGTACCTGCTCTTGACATCCTATAGAATGGTAATTCTTTCTTTTTTTAATTAATTTTATATAAAAATAGAAATTTAGCATTTACATTTTTGTGGTCTGGCCTTTTGGGGTCACCATTATGTTACACAACCTATATTTTATTTTATATGTTTAACTGACACATGCTAAATTTGCTTGTATGTGGAGTACAATGTGATAGTTCAGTACATATATTTAATGATCAGACCAGGTAAATGGCATATCTGTCATCTCAGACATTTATCATTTCTTTTTTTGTTGGGAACATTCATATAAACTGTTTTACTAGTTCTTTTGAAATATACAATTAGTTACATCTACATTTTATTTATTTATTTATTTTTGGTACCAGGAGTTGAACTCAGGAACTCGTACTTGCCAGGCAATAAACTACATTTTAAATTATACTATTCCACACACTCTCCAAAATTTGTGGAAATCAAATCAAGTCCTATTTTAAAAATACTTTGGTAACAAACCAAGAAAAAAACTTCAGTTTAGCTGGGTATGGTAGCACATGCCTGTAATCCTAGTACTAGGGAAACTGAGGCAGGAAGATCACTGTGAGTTCCAGGCCAGCCTGGGCTACAAAGTGAGTTACAGGCCAGCCTGAAATGCCTACCGAGACCCTGTCTCAAAAAGACAAAAATAGGCTAGGGATTTAGCTCAGGGGCTCAAGTGCTTGCCCGGTAAGCGAAAGGTCACGAGTTCAATCCCCAGTACCAAAAATAAATAAATAAATAAAAATAAAAATAAATCAGTGGTAATGTGGCACAAAAAACTATACAAAAAGCAAAAATACAGATTTAAAAAACTGACAAAAAACAACAACAATAAAAACCCCACAAAAGCCCCTTCAACTTCATATGAATATGAAAAACAGTATGAAACATTATCTGTAAATATATTAGTAGGTTCCTATATGAAATACTATCACTTGGGATGGGTTGTAACTAGATTATTGGCAATGTAAATTACTTTGAAAACACTTGTAAATTAATTTAATTTATATAGAAGTTCAGTAAGTAAAAAGTATGGTCCAATTTTTATTTTTATAAAAGAACTAAAATGACCTTTAAGTATACTGACAATTAAGGGGGGGGGAGGTTGGCACTTAAAATTTATGTCCACATTCTCCCATGCTTGCAGGAAGTCTGGTATTAGGAAGCTTGGACAGGTGTTAATAGAAAGTGATGTATGAAAGACTCCAGCAAAATGCTGATCTCCAGATGGTGGGATTTCACCAGATACTTTATTCTTTATATTCTTCTGTGTTGCTTGAATTATTTTTTAAAACCCAAACATATATAACTTTTATAAAAACTCCAAAAAAGCTTTGTTAAAATTTACCTTTTGAATTCAAGAGTTTTGGTGTCATCTTTCCAGTACCACATTCCTAAGCGTAATCCACTTTGCTGTAAAGGAGATGGCTGCAGTAAAAGTGATAAAAATTCAATTTACAACTCACAGGGCACAATACGCCTTTAATAGTTCCTACTAGTTGCTCTGCTCTTTATTTAATACAGAATCTTTATTTTTGTCTTTTAACTCAAAGCCTTTCTGATTGTTTTTAGGATGTAGTTTCAATAGGATGGGAGAGAGGGAGGAAAGGGGGAACAGAAGACAGGAGAGGGGAGGGGAAATAGACTTCACGTAGCCGAAGTCTTTCGGATATCATAAACTGATGCCCAGTGCGGCCACTTTTGAACTGAGTTAGAGCTCATATAAAAGGAGCAGCCTGCCCCGCCCCCACGCCTGACCTTTCGAGGCTGTCGAAACCCAAGGTCACTCTTCCTGGCGGTGGAGAGTTACCCGGCCTGTGCTCTCCAGGATCCCCCACAGCTACACTGTGCGGTTTGCAGCCCCCAACCAGAAGCGGGAAGGTGGACTTTCAAGACATCTAAAGCTCTGCGGTAGGAGCCAAAATTCAATCCTGACCGCTAGCGGGGTGCACTCTTCCGTCCGGTTTTGTTTTTCCAAGCGAGTACGCCCTGCGGCGCGGGCCAGGGGCGCAGCAGAGGACGCGGGGTGCGTCGCCGGCACCCGAGGTCCGAAAGAACAGCAGGCCCCGGCTTCTCGGCCCCAGAGCGGGGACCCAGATTGCACTTACATCCAGCTGTGCGGGGTTCTGCACATCCCACCGCTTCTTCTGATAAAACACCGGGAACATGGCCCCCAGCAGCGTCCTCGCAGCGTCCTCACCCCGTCGCCTAGGCTACCGGGGGCGGGGCGCGGGCTGCGGCGGGGCGGGGGCGGGGCTTCGGCGGAGCGCTCTCCCCGCCCCACCGCCCCCGAGCTGCCACGCCTGGAGTGGAGGATCCCAGAGTTGATTCATCGCGGCGCTACTACCTTGGCAGGCTGAAATCCACGCTGAACCTAGGTTCATTCTGGGGTTTGCGGGGAGGAAGTGGTGTAGTCTAGTGAAAGAGAACCATAGACAAGAAAATAAGGTTTTTAAACATTTCTACTGCTTCAAGAGACCTGAAACAACTTTGATCCAGCTTCTGAACATACCCAAATTGGGAGTTATGAGAATTTCAGAGGAGAGATGTGTGTAAAGCACAAGTCTTAGGTACTTAAAATTGTGTTGCAGAAACAAAAACAACCAAAAAACCAAACAAAAACCAAAAAAGCAAACCAAAAAACTCAGTGTTCGTGAATATTCCATGAATATTTTCACACACTTCGAATCATGTGTTTGTAATTTTTTGCAACTGAGGTGACATGTAGGTTTCTGGCTGATGCTTTTCTCCCTCTAACACTGATGTAAGCAGTAATATTAGATGGGGCTTGTGTATGCCCTTTTCATTGGTATGAGAGGCTCAGTAGAGATTGTATAATCCCATAAACGTTGAAACTATGGCAATAGCTTTCCCTCGTTGTCCTGTGTCACTGCTAGGTCTCACACAATCACTTGTGGCCATTCTGTAATAGTTCACCTTGGTACACATGCATGGGAAGCCACTCAGACTTAGCCGTGGTGCAAGCTGCAGTGGACAGGCCTGCTTACTACAAGATGACTCACTTGAAAAGTCAGAAATGTCCCGGATGCCAAGAGCTTTTTCACCCAGCTGGATGTATAACTTGGGGTGGGAAGAACAGGGAGAGCTGACTCCAGGAAAGTTCCACAGGAGAAGGAAGGACCAAGGAATGTGGATGGGACCCAGGCACTTCACAGTCATTTTCAAGAAATATAGTCAGTAACCCTCTTCAACTGGCACTCAAATTGTGGAAAAGTGAAATCATGTTGTATATCTTCATAGTCTAACAGACTAATGCACAAAATTAAATAAAAATATTATGTTATTAGGAACTCAAAATAGTATCCACCTAAATGTTACATGTTATTTCATGTATGCTAGAAGAATATAATATTTAAAACTTTAGTAATCTGAAGGGATCATTTTATACATCTCTTGTCAACTTACTCTAGCCAAAATGATTGTTTTTGTATCTATAGAACATTATTCTAAAGTATGAGTTACTCATTTCCCAGGCTACATTTTTTACCAATTAGGTTTAAGAAAATAAATTAGAATTCACAAACTGGAATTCAAACCGGAAATGTTTTTTCCCTTTATGATGATGTAAAATATTTTCTAAGTATCTAATAATTATAAATGTCCTATAAGGGAAAGATATTTTTTTGTCTTACAAACTCCTAGGACCAGGGATTTAGCTCAGTGTCATAATTGCCTATCTGGCAAGTCTGAGATCTTGAGTTTGATCCCCAGTACCAAAAAAATAAAAAAAAAAAAAGAAAAAGAAAAAGAGAAACTCCTAAAGGTCATATAATTATTTAAGTTGCTAAACACTGATTATAATGCATGTTTATAGTATGAAAACATCATAGATATATTTTATATGCATATTTTTCATATGTATATTTATTTATTTTATTGTACTATGAATTGAATGCACAGCCTCATGCTTGCCAGGTAGGTGCTATGCCACTGAGCTATATCCTTGGCCCAAAGAGTTTCACATTGTGGTTCAGGCTGGCCTTGAACTCACTTCATATCCCAGGCTGGCCTTGCACTGGCAGTGATCCTTCTACCTCAGCCTCCCAAGTGCTGGGATTTAGTGTTACAATTTTACCTAAAATTTTTTCATTTTCCATGAAAGAAAATGGCAATGCCTAATTTGAATACAATTATTTTTATCTGCCTACCTTTAATTTACATACTAATCTACACTGAGAGGTGTGAAGGAAAGGGCCTATGATTTTTATTTGTTCCGAGGGACAGTGTTTCAAAATTACATGTTACCCTATTAAATTTCAAAAATGCATATACTCTAAAATGTTTCCATTGCAAGAGCTACATCAAAAATAAATTGGACTCTTTCTGAAGATTCGTAATTTTAAGGACTAAAATTCTGCATCTAATTTTTAATTCTGTAATTCAGATCAGTTTACTCGTACCTATTTACACACTACCAAAGTAACTGAATATCCTTGTTTCTTATTCTAAACATGTATACAATGTGCCAAAAAATGTGTATACATTTAGCAGTTCACTATCCTAATAAATACCTGGGTATGCATAGTCACCACTTTGAACACCTTTTGTGATTATAGAGGCCAAAGGTAACTTGTATTCATCTCATTATGTTTCAATAAATTTACTATTAAAATATTTACACAAGTTTTTCTTTTCCTGATGTATATATTTTTTGGCACACTCTATATATTGTCTTGTGACACATGGATGGGAGGTTTTTCTTAAAACTTCAATTTCAGTGTTCAAAAGCAAGAGGAAATATGCCTCACAACTCTTATAAACTATATTTGATTTAAACTAGGAATATCAGGGTCCCGGAATTTAGCTCAGTGGCCTAAGCACCTGCTTGGTAAGCACAAATTCATGAGTTTGATCCTCAGTACCAAGAAAGAAAAACTAGGAATATCAGTTTTTTTGTCTTTTTGAGACAAGGTCTCACTATGCAAAGTTCTGGCTGGCCTTGAGCTTACTTTGTAACCCAGACTGGTCTGGAACTCAAAACGATCCTTCTGCCTCAGCCTCCCAAGAGCTGGGATTACAGGCATGCATCACCACGCCCAGCAGTAGGAATATTTTTTTTTTTTTTTTTTGTCTTTTTCATTTTTCTCGGTACCAGGGATCGAACTCACGACCGCCTGCTTGCAAGGCAGGTGCTTATGCCGCTGAGCTAAATCCCCAGCCCCAGTAGGAATATTTTATAGATCCATTTATCTTGATAAAAATAGATCTTTCAATTCATCCAGGTTGTATGACTGAATTCCCGTGAGATATATATTTTTTTCTTTTTTGGTACTGAGGGTTGAACCTTGTGCTTGTCAGGCAGGTGCTTATGCCACTGAGTTAAATCCCTGGCCCAAGATGTATATTTTCACTTGCTTACATCCCAAGCATAACACTACTTTCAAATTTAGGTGATGTTAATTATTCCTCCAACTGTAATTTAGTTGTTTTAACACCAAGTACTTTTCCACTGTTATTTGACTACATACAGCTCGTCTAACATCTTGTAAGGAGTTCCTAGGAGTTCTTAGGTCACCAGTTTTAAGTGACTCCTGGGAACACTTAAAGGCTACTTTGGTGGCTTTATCCTAGTAATAGTCAAATCTTGGTAAATTTAAGACAAATTAGTATAATGACAAGTTTTAGGAGGCCAGTCATATAATCAAAAACCAGGATATATTATCAGTCACCATTTTGGGGTTTTTTAGGGGGAGGCATTGTTTTTTGCACTACTAGGGCAGGAACCCAGGGCTTCTGTATTGAGCTCTAGCAGGTCCTGTCTTGCTAAGTTGTCCAGGCTGGGCTCAAACTTATAATCCTCCTGCCTCAGCCTCCCAAAGTCATTGTTCACTTTATGACTAATGTTTTCCAAAGTGAGGTCTGAAAATTGAGTGATACTAGCAGGGTGTGGTGGTGCACACTTGGAATCCCAGCACTCAGTAGGTTTGAGTTCAAGACCAGACTGAGCCTCATAGGGAGTTTAAAGCCATTGTGAATTACAGAGCGAGACCTTCTCCCCAAAAGAATAAAAACATAAAATGAGTCATACTAATAACACATTGCACTTACAGAAAGGCAATTATGTTTTGAAGTTAATATGAGGAATAAGCAGTATCAACAAATAAAGGACTCATAGAAGATTTTTATTTTGGTAAAACTCATGTTAAGTCACTCTAAAACCACATCTAATTCTGTGAGTATCCACAGAATTAGTATTTTGTCAAACATTTATGTGATGCTGTCTGTAGCCAGTGAAATTCAAACACTAATTGCCAAAACTTTCCACCCATGTAACACTAGTAGCACTGATAACCTGAGTTATTTTCACCACTTTCCAGAGCGTAAAGAATCCCCTGTATGTCTTTAAAATTATTCTGAAGCAATTTCACATCTATTTATCTTCCTCTCCTGAGCCAAGTCAGACTTTTTTATTTTTTAAAAAAATCTTGTCTGAATATAGGGGTCAACTATTATGTTACAGGGTCATTACCAAAGCCCAGTATCTTCAAACTAAGTTGTATTCTATTTTTAAATTACTCATACTACTATTCCAAAAATTAATCTCTATGTGACATACAAGGGCCCACTACTAAAATGAAAATATGTATATTTCATTACCCTATGAACAACACGTCATTGGATTGTCCATGTGCAAAATGTCCATGTGCAAGGAAAACATTAAAACAAGCATTTTCCAACCACCATTATTAAATGTCTCACAAGTTACACAGAGTAAATCAAAACAGAGCAGAAAAACAATAAAAATCAAGCCAGGAGTGGCAAACACCTGTAAGGCTAGCATTTTTGGGCAACTTAGCAAGACCCTATAGAAAATTTCAAGACTAAAAGGGGATAGGTAAGGGTCAGTGGTAGAGTGCCTATGGGACAGATTCTGAGGACTGGAAAAAAAAAAATCAATCTCCTTTTCCTAAGGATATGAATTTTCAATCTTAAGTCCAAAATAAAGGCTCTCCAAAAGAGAAAATGTATTCCTATGTATAACAATCTCAAATCAGGTTTATAGGAAAAATGGTCAAGATGGATATTAACAAAATATGGTCTTATAGTTTGCCCTTTCAAATAGAATTTTTTGTAGTGATTTGAAGAAGGTATTGCAAAGGCACTAAGATTTTCAAATTACACACACACAAAATATATACTTTTCCCATACCTCCCAAGTCATTACAACTGTTGGAAATGTTCTTATAAAATATTCTATAAACTATGCAGCTGGGCATGATGGCTCACCCTTGTAATCCCAGCACTCGGGAGGCTGAAGCAGTTCAAGACCAGCCAAGGCTACAAAGTGAGTCCAAGACCAGCCTGAACTGCCCAGCAAGACTCTGTCTCAAAAAGACAAAAATATATATTCTATAAACCTAAATGCTGAATTGTTTTACTAGAAAATTAAAGAGTTAAAAAAAGTTTCACTGGATATGGACTTTTAACATTAAAATTTGTCCGCTGGGTCTTATTTCAGGCACCTGTATGTCACAAAAAAGCAAGGGTTCCATATACTGTGCTCCTTTGGGCTATGCTGAGAAGACAATGTTTGCCCTTCTTTGATTATTCTACAAAAAAATTTTTGCTTAACCCTAGCATACAGCTTGTATTTCCCTGGAGTATTCGAGTAGGTTTTCATTTGAACAAAGTAAGAGATCCTAGTCAGATGGCTTTATTAAAGGGGGGTTGGGAGAGGTAGAAGAGTTTACCCAGATTCTTCTCCCTTTAAGTTGTTGGTAATTCAAGCCAGGAACTTCATCTGAGAATTAGAGAAGACTGGGTTAGAAACATTTCACAACATACTAATATCTTAAAGACCAACATGAGTAAAATATGGGGAAAAAATGGAAAACTCAAGGCAATAACGTTGAGATCAACTTCAGTTTTATTTTAAAGTCGCACTTAATGCATTTATTTGCAAAAAATAAACCTGTCCTTTACATTACTGCAGTGTTACTTTAGTTTTAACGTAGTGCATACAAATAAACAATTCAAGCTCCTATATATTTCATTGTTACCATGCTTCCATAGGACAGGTGTGCAAACATCAGGTTTCTCAAATCTCCATGCACAAACTAAACTAACCAAAAATGCTCAAATCACGCAAAATGCCTTAAGGAGAAACCTCAAATAATGCTTTTTCAAAATCAAACTTCAGAACTAATCTTTTATAGTTAAACTATGTTGTCTTCCTTTCCTTTCATATGCATATACCAGGCTAAAGCCTTTCAACAACAGATCTACTTGGCACAAAGACATTTCAAAGAAACCAAAACAAAAGGAAAAAAAGAAAGGAAAAGAGGTTTACGTTGACTGCGTGCAAGCATTAGTCCACTTCTTCGATGGTGGGGCCCCCGGAAGCTCCAGAGCCACCGCCGCAGCTGCCAGGACCGCCTTGGTAAAGTTTGCTGATGATGGGGTTGCACACTCTTTCCAGCTCTTTCTGCTTGTGTTCGTACTCATCTTTCTCCGCCATCTGGTTTCGATCGAGCCAGTTGATCACTTCCTGACACTTGCTGAGGATCTTGCTTTTATCCTGCTCGCTAATCTTGCCCCTCAGTTTCTCGTCTTCTACGGTCTGCTTGATGTTGTATGTGTAGGATTCCACCGCGTTTTTGGCTGCCACTCGGTCGCGATTAGCCTCATCTTCCGACTTGTACCGCTCCGCCTCTTGCACCATCCGGTCGATGTCGTCCTTGCTCAGACGACCCTTGTCGTTGGTGATGGTGATCTTGTTTTCTTTACCGGTGCTCTTGTCAGCGGCGGTGACGTTGAGGATGCCGTTGGCATCGATGTCGAAGGTGACCTCGATCTGCGGGACCCCACGGGGTGCCGGGGGAATCCCGGTAAGGTCGAACTTGCCCAGAAGGTTATTGTCCTTGGTCATGGCCCGTTCGCCCTCGTACACCTGCACCAGCACGCTGCTCTGGTTGTCCGAATAGGTGGTGAAGGTCTGCGTCTGCTTGGTGGGGATCGTGGTGTTCCTCTTGATGAGCGGGGTCATGACGCCGCCCGCCGTCTCGATGCCCAGCGACAGGGGGGTCACGTCGAGCAGCAGCAGATCCTGCACGTTCTCAGACTTGTCGCCGATGAGGATGGCCGCCTGCACCGCCGCGCCGTAGGCCACTGCCTCGTCGGGGTTGATGCTCTTGTTCAGCTCCTTGCCGTTGAAGAAATCCTGCAGCAGCTTCTGGATCTTGGGGATGCGAGTGGAGCCGCCCACCAGCACGATCTCCTGGATCTGGCCCTTGTCCAACTTGGCGTCGCGCAGCGCCTTCTCCACCGGCTCCAGGGTCCCGCGGAAGAGGTCGGCGTTGAGCTCCTCAAAGCGGGCGCGGGTGATGGACGTGTAGAAGTCCACGCCCTCGTACAGAGAGTCGATCTCAATGCTGGCCTGGGTGGACGAGCTCAGGGTGCGCTTGGCGCGCTCGCAGGCCGTGCGAAGTCGCCGCACCGCGCGTTTGTTGGGCACAATGTCCTTCTTATGCTTGCGCTTGAACTCCTCAGCCAGGTGGCTAACCATGCGGTTGTCGAAGTCCTCGCCGCCCAGGTGGGTGTCGCCGGCTGTGGACTTCACCTCGAAGATGCCGTCCTCGATGGTCAGGATGGACACGTCGAAGGTACCGCCGCCCAGGTCAAAGATGAGCACATTCTTCTCGCCGCCTGCGCAGCCCTTCTTGTCCAGGCCGTAGGCAATGGCGGCCGCAGTAGGCTCATTGATAATCCGCAGCACATTGAGGCCGGTGATAGTGCCCGCATCCTTGGTGGCCTGGCGCTGGGAGTCGTTGAAATAGGCCGGGACCGTGATGACAGCGCTCTGCACTTTGCCTCCCAGGTAGGCCTCGGCGATCTCCTTCATCTTTGTGAGCACCATGGAAGAGATCTCCTCCGGGAAGAAGGTCTTCATCTCCCCCTTGTACTCCACCTGCACTTTGGGCTTCCCTCCCTCGCTCACCACCCGGAATGGCCAGTGTTTCATGTCCGACTGCACCGTAGCGTCCTCGAATTTTCGCCCGATCAGCCTCTTGGCATCGAAGATGGTGTTGGTGGGGTTCATGGCCACTTGGTTCTTGGCTGCGTCGCCGATGAGGCGCTCGGTGTCGGTGAAGGCCACGTAACTGGGGGTGGTTCGGTTGCCCTGGTCATTGGCGATGATCTCCACCTTGCCATGTTGGAAGACCCCCACACAGGAGTAGGTGGTGCCCAGGTCGATGCCGATGGCCGGGCCGCGGGCGCACATCCTGGGTGAAAGAGGGGCAAGCGGCGTTCAGGCAAGAAAGCAGGGAGCCGCAGTCCGCGGGGTCAACTAACGGTCGCCACCGTCCGCCTCGAGCGCGCCTAGCATCTCCCCGCTCCCTCCCTCCCAGTTCAACGCTCTTATAGTCGCCTTGCCGAAACTCCTACAACCAATCCACTCCCGACTCCGCCCACACAAACTCTTCCAGCCCCCACCACAGGCTTGCCTGGGTCGGAGTGACAGGCCTCTGGTCCAACAAACATATAATTGGTGAGCGGCGAGACCTCAATCCGGTGGAGGGGTGGCCGTTATGCAAATAACTCCTCGCAGTACAGCTAGCCGCTTGGGGGCGTTAGTCTCGCGCCCTGCTCCAGGTGTGTAAACTTTTTCATGCGTTTTGCCTTTCCTAAAGCACGATTTGTCGAAGACCTGGGATTGGCAGGACAAGCGACCAATGAGCAGCGCGGGCTCAAGTGGGGCAGGATTGGGGCGTGGCGCGCGGAGGAGGCAAGGAAGGAGAGTTAGTTGTCTGGGTCTACAAGGCTGTTCTCAGGCTTTTAAGGCAATAAGGCTTTAGCGTGGGTGTCCAGACTAACAAATCACGCAGGAGAGAAATTCAGCCCGTTGGTTACACTGAATAAGACCGGTGCCCATTTCTTCCCCTGCGCTGGTCCACGCTGAGGGCTCAGGCCTGGGCTGGGCTGAGGTGCGGGACGGCTCCCTTGGGACGGGCGGGGACAAGAAGTGAACCGCGGCTGCACGAGGAGCGGTGGCCTCTGGATTTTTCGTGGCGAGTTCGCCAGCGGCTCTGGCGAGCGCTCGAGGAGACTCCTGGGCGCGCGGGGAGGAGGAGCAGGGAGAGACTGGGCGTTTTCCCGCGTCCCGGCGACACCAGCTTCCCCTGCCTTCTCGCGCTCCGCCCATCCCGCCGCCCCGAACTTCCTGGTTCAGCTCCCCGCCCCCCCAGGGGGTTCTCTCTGTTAAGGGCTCTCCCCGTCCCCCGGAGTCCGTCCTTGAAGAGCCGTGGACCCCGCGCGGCGTGGACTCGCTCCCGGCCTCCTGCCCGCCGAGCCTTGCTTTCTGGCAAGCGCGTCCTTCCCCCGGAGCGGTGGCGCGGGAGCGGGCATGGCGGAGCGGAATAGGCGCGGAGGTCGGGGTCGAGCGCGCTGGCTGCCGCCCGGCGCCCCCAAAACTGCGAGAGGTTTCGCGAAGCTGGGCTGCACCGGGTGATGGAGAGGAAGCGGCGGCCTTTGACAGCGACAGCAGCGACTTCCCGGAGGGGAAAGTCTAGACAGTTATTCCCGCCGGGGTTAGAGGGACGAGGAGAAAAAGAGATGGTCTGGCCTTGAGAGGGCGGTGAGCCTGCCAGAAAGGTTCGCGCGTTTCCAGTGGAGCTCTGCGAGGCCCAGTGGGAGGAGGGCGCGCGGGAAGTGTGCTGTGGCCTCCTGGAGGTGACTCCCTAAGCCGGAGTTAAGTTTACCAGCAGAGAGGACCGCAAAGGCACAGCCATCCCCCACTCCATCCCTTGCCTTGCAACTGATCTACATCCCAGCTTTTTAAAATTTTGGAACACATCTCCCAAATCGCTACGTGCCCAGTCTGAACTCAAGTTTGTGATCTTCCTGCCACGGTCTCCACACCTGGCTAGCAAAGACATTCTTAGGTGGTAGCCTAGCCAAAGATGATGGCATTTTTCTGTGTAAATTAGCGTCCCTAAAAGGGCGAGGGGAGAGTACAGGACAAAAACTTCTCTACCAGTAGGCGGGACACATTCAGGAGCTTCTGGTGCCGAGGTCTCTTCCTGAGGGTGTGGGAGAGGAGACACACCCTTTAAAGAAGGCTAAATAAGTATGTGGGCCATACAGAAGGTGTGCGAGACAGTTGCTAGGGAAGACTTTGAGAAACGCAGAAGCTACCTGTGAAAGATAATGTTAGGGAATTCTGTAAATCAGTGAACATTTCAGATTTTATCTGTGTATGTAACCTCGTTTTTAAAAACACTTGTAAAAAAAAAAAACACTTGTAATTTATTAATCTCGCTGGTTAAATAATATTGGCTTTAACCACAAGTTGTCTTCCATGGAAGGAAAGCATGGAAGAAAAAGTAACATTTGAAAACAAGGATAAAACAAAACATTTGTAGTGGAAACTGGCATAAACTGTGGGATTGAGCTTTTGATTTTTTTTTCTTGGAAATTCTTGTCATATATTTTTTTTATTTTGTCTTGTAGATTTTTTTTTTTTTTAATTGGGGATTGAACTCATGACCTCGTGCTTGCCAGGTGGGTTCTTATGCCGCGGCGCTAAACCTCTGGCACATGTTTTGTAGCTCTTTACAATGGAATTTTTATTAATTATTTGAGATGATATAATTTGTGGGGGGGGGCGCCTATACATGAAAGAACTGTGAGAAGCAGTTCTTTGGGTCTCTTGTACTCAGTCAAGCTTTACACACATAAAGCAAGACTGCAAAAAAACCCAGCAACTACAACAAAAAACCCACAAGCAGGCCAAAGTACTTCCACACAAACATTAAAATTAGAGCTTGAAAGGAGAAATTCTTTGGAGTATTAACTAAGTCCTAGCTCTGTGCAGTTATTTGCAAACAACTCTTGGAATCTCACCACCACACTCGTCTTTAACACAACTTTCTGAAATGACAAGAACAATCATCAACATTTTCATTAGCTATATATATATATTTTTCTGCTGTAACTTTTTATTTGGTAAATCTATGTTTCCAAACTAACTTCTCCCAAGATACAGGATCTACATTTTTATTTTACAGGAAATTTCTGTAGTAATAGAACCTTAGCACATTGATTACTTTTAGAATTTCTACATTTCCCTTATTTGCAATAATTTCTAAAATCTTATTTTTTATAATTTTGCCTGAGTTCATTAAAAATATGACCTGTTAAAATTATCAAATAAGAAAATTTATGACCAAATAACATTCATCCATGCCATTAATAGTGCAGTAAAACAATCTCTATCAGTGAGAATGTCAAGTAATGCAATCCTTTGTGACAGTATATTTTCTTCACCTTAAATATGATCAGACCCTTAATATTAGTCTTCAGAGGATTCACTTTAAGGAAATAATAGAAAATTCAAGTAATATTATTGTTAGCACAATAAAAAGGAAATAGTTTAAGTATCCAATGATAAGAAAATGATTGTATAAGTTATACTACATGAATATTGTGAACCATCATGCAACTATAGAGATTGATTCCAGGGGCTGGGGATTTAGCTCAGTGGCATAAGTGCCTGCCTTGTAAGCAGGTAGTCGTGAGTTCGATCCCTGGTACCGATAAAAAAATGAAAAAAAGACCAAAAAAAAAAAAAAAATGAAAGAAAGAAAGCTAGAAATTGATTCCAAGACTTTTTTTTTTTTTTTTTTTTTTTTTTGTCTTTTTTGAGACGGGGTCTCACTATGCAGTTCAGGCTGGCCTCGAGCTCACTTTGTAGCCCAGGCTGGTCTGGAACTTGCAACGATCCTCCCACCTCAGCCTCCTGAGTTCTGGAATTACAGGCATAAGCCACCATGCCCGGCTTGTTTCCAAGACTTAATGACACAAGAAATTGTTCTTGATATAACTGAAAAAAAATTTACTATGTTCTTGTCCTATATGTAGAATAATTTTACATGTGTGAAAAATACATCAAAAGTCAGATGGTGGGACTATCACTAAGTTTTCTAATATCCTTTATTTCTACATTTACAGATCTATTTGGATTTTTTTTTTTTTTTCTTGTACTGGGGATACACTTGCCAGGGAAGCCCTTATGCCTCTGAGCTAAATCCCTGGCCCTCTATTTGAAGTTTTCAGGCAGTATCTTGCTGTTTATTTCAGGTTGGTCTTGAACTCGGTGATCCTCCTGCCTCAGCCTCCTGAGTGCTGGGCTATGTCACACTATGCCTGGCCGGAGATTTTTAAAATGACTACAAATGTTCAACTGAAACACAGTTCACTAGTCCTATCATGTATATAGAAATTAATACTGATTTTTCAGTAAGGGAAACCTGTTTGCTAGATTATAAACATTGAAGTGTTCTCAAAATATTTTTTTAAAATCCCCCAAATCAGGTTTCATTCAGATTAAATGGTAGAAAAAACCAAGTGCTTTACCACACATCAAACACTCCAATTAACCCTACCATCGAGTGGAGTACTCGGAACACATTAGTAATTCACTGGCTCAATGTTAAGGGCCTTTATGGGGGTAGTGGTGCTGGACAAGTTACCAAAGGCCTTGTGTGCAAAGCACAGACTCTACAACTGAACTACATCCCCAACCCTCTCAGTGTTTCTTAAAGTGATTTAAAATATGTTATTTAAATAAAAACTCACAATAGTAACTTCATCTTTCTTCTGGTAGGAGGAAGATCCCTTGCTACCACATATTTTTCTAAATGACTGCATAGACCAAAAGTGAAAGAAATCCACATCTGAAAATACCTGCACCAGAGACACAAAAACGAATGAGATGAGGTCTAAAACCATGTGCATGGGGATTCAGGCTGCTTGGAGGAGACTGACCAAACAGGAATAAATTTTTCCAGAATTACTAGGAAAACAAAAAGTTGCATATTTTCCTGAACTCAGGGTCACCATCCAGGCATAATTTTTGCAAAAGGTGTGAATTGTTTTGAGGAAGTGATATTAGCATGAAGAGAAGGTACACTAGTAACAGCCAATAATTTGATCACCTTGTAGCAAACTGGAGTTTCAGTAATGAGTCTAGTGAAGCTCTCTGTAGGTAGGTGTGGCGTATGCCTGTAATCCCAGCCCTTGGGAGGCTGGGGCAGGAAAATTATGAGTTGGAGGCCATTCTAAAGTACATTGCGAGACTGTCTCAAAAGACAAAAATAAAAACTCCACAAATATTGCCATTTTATAATTCTTTGAAAATTCCCTCCCAAAATTTTCCATTAGTGATTTTTACTAAACTTATAATAATTAATTTTTAAAATGATTATTAATGTTCAGTTAAAGTTCATTAGTCCTATTATATAAAAATACTGATCTTTCAACTAATGATCTTTACCAGATTATAAAACACTAGGGTGTTTCAAAATATTTTTGTCACTGTAGAAAAAAACAAAAACAGTAACAAAAAAC